CGACGTCGACGAGAACGTGGACGAAGTGGTGAAGGCGAGCCAGCCGGTCGCCGTTCGGGTCTACAGGGACGACCGGAACGGGCGATGGAAGCTGAGTTACTCCACTGTCTGGGCTTACTCGTCTCGCAGCATCTCCTGGACTGCCGTCGGAAGTAAGCAAGCTGGAGCTGAGGCCGTCCGCCAAGGGTGGAAGTGGGCGGAGGTCTTCGAAGGCCTAGAGATGCCCGAGGAAGCCGGCAAGATCCTGAAGAAGCTGGAGGCCTGAGCGACGGCATGTCGCCCTTTGCTTTGTCGTCGGAAGAGGCTCTTCGTCGCAAGGTCGTTCGTAGGTTTTTTGAAGAGCAGCGGGCACTGGAGTCCTCGCAGCCGCAGAAGCCAAAAAGACTGCTTCGTCAGAGCTGAGACAGACCAGCGTGGAAGTTTCCTTTGCCTAGCCCTTCTAGAGCTTGAAACCCGACGTTTCCTTGTTTCGGCCCAGGTCGGTTTGCAGAAGAAGAGCCGGGGGATGCTTCTTGGGCGACTCAGACTCCGAGGCTGGGAACCGTCCTGTGTGCTTCGCCTTGCAGTTGCAGAAGCGTGGGGTTTGCCAGTTAGCAGTTTGTAGACGTCGGACTGCCTGCAAGCCTGAACTTCATCTGCAGCACAAATTTTCGGTTGGAAGGGCTTCTAAAGCTAAGTTGCTGTCATGGGCCGGCCGAAGCTGGCAGAGACGGGTGGCAGCAGGCCACCGAGTGCGTATGCGCTCTTCTGTGGCTGGGTCGCTCGGGAAGGCCTGACGGTCGCTCAGGCCGCTCGTCGCCGCATCCACGGAAAGAGGATGGTTCGAGACAAGCCCTCCATGAGTCTGAAGTGGTGCCTTAGCTGAGTGGGATGCTTTCTAAGTATTTAAGACTTCAGAATAAAGCATTGTTTAAGGGTGGTGCGTTTCAGTGTTTTTCAGGTGCGTTTCAGGTGCGTTTCAGCTTTTCTCCAAGGGTTTTGCTTGTTTTAGTGCTTTACGGCTACAACTGTTGCCAAGTCGCAGTGAGTAGGTGTTTAGCATGACACACAGCTGGGTCCTTCTGCCTTCACATAGTCATAGCAAAGCGGGATCTGCTGAAGAGCCCTGGACTCTCGTGTTTAGTATATATTACTATACTGTATAAGACATTGTGAGTCGGTAAACCCTAAGTATAAGACCCATTAGGAAAGGGTGGTGCGTTTCAGAGTTTTTCAGGTGCGTTTCAGGTGCGTTTCAGCTTTTTTCCAAGGTTTTTGCTTGTTTTATGTCTATACAGTCTATACAGAAGGCGTGATGGTATAGATAGTGCAGTTTCTCTAAGGTTTCAAACACTTTGGCTCGAAACCAAACAGACCTGAACCTTCCATTTTTTCATTCTAGTAGTAGCCTTTCAGTTTTCGTCTGAGGCTTGCAGAACTCGACCCCCTATCCTGACTGAGACCAAAGACCCAACACATAAATACGTGTATCCCAATCGAAGCTCGGCTCGCCTTGTGCTTTGCCTCTGCTCAGGAAGCACAAGAAAAGCAAGGACATTCGGAAAAGGTTTTTCGCAGAGGCCAGACCGCATTACGAGGACAACCGCAACAAGGCCACCGCTTTTCTGAAAGGGCAGGGACCTCCGGCTGCTGCAGTGAAACAAAACGAGGGAAGCAAGGACGTTCGGAGGGCAGAAGAGGACGACGAGAAGTGGCGTGACACACAGGACGTGCTCCTGGACGTCTGGACTTGGACTCTCGGGTTGCCACTGGGGCCGCTGGAGCCGGCAGGCGAGGGGTCCTACGGCATGGTCTTTCGCTCAAGCTTCCAACACCAGCCGCTCGTGCTGAAAGTGGCTAAAGGCCGAGGGCCAGAGGGCATGCGACAGGTCGCTGCGGCCGGACAGGAGGTTGCGGACGAGTTCGGCGTTCTCACAGCCGTCGGCCAACACCCAAACGTCGTGCGAGCGTTCGCGGTTCTCACCAGCTCCCTTGGTCGGCCGGCCTTGCTGCTGGAGGCAGCCACGGAGAGCTTGCGTGCCGCCACTCGCAGGCTCAAAGACGACCGAGTCTCCTGGCCGACAAACCGCAAGACACTTCTGCCGTTCTTCCAGCAGTTCCTGCTCGGCCTCTCGTACGTGCACGGCCGTTCGTTTTTGCACCTCGACATCAAGCCAGACAACATTCTGGTCTTTAACGACGTCCGAGCTGCCGTCGCCGACTTCGGACTCGCCCAGAAGGTTGTGCAGGATGGCTGTTCGGTCATCGGCAGTCGGGCCTACAGCGAAGCTTTCCGCTGCCCGGAGTGCCTCCTTGCAGCCGACAGCCAGGTGTGGGGATAACTAGACAATCTGAAGTCTCCAGAAGCCACTGAAATCGCCCAATACTCGTCAAAATTTCGATTAGTTCCTAGTTTCTGAATAAGAGTTCGAAGCCTAGTGCAGAACCCCGGCCCCTTCAGCCCTTTACTCACATGACCCCTGGAGGTGCGAGTGACGTTCGCAGCAGACGTCTGGGCGGCGGCCGTGACCTTCTTCGAGACTTTCTGCCCGCCGAAGACGTCGCTCTGGAAAGTCTCCCCGCAGACGTTCGTGCGGGAGACGGAGGAGGCCACTGCCAGGTCTGTTCGCGACATGGCCACTCAGCTTTCGGCCAAAGTGATGCCGTACGACAAGATCATGCTCCAGGTGCTCGAGAGGTCGTTCGTGCCGGCAAAACAGAGGCTGTCTCTTGCCACCTTCCTGGCTCTGACTGAGAAGCCGGTCACTCCAAGGCCGCTCGCTGAATGAAAGTAGGTCGACCGTGAGATTTGCACAACGATGGCTTCGCGAGCGATGAGAAAAGACTCACAACCCATGAGAGTTCGATTGCTGCTGTGTCTGCCTCGCTGACCCTAAAGAAGTTTCTGAAAGTAGACCGTCAAGCCTCCTTGCTTTGTGCCAGGTCTTTCGACGACACCTTCGTTCAGCAGCAGACTGCTCCGGTCGCCTCAAACTGGCAGATTTGGCACTCGTGCTGCTTCGCACCTATCGTCGTTCGAGTCGCCTTCGGAAAGGCACTCTAACTACTGATTGGATAAGAAATACTTATTCTCGGCAGCATGCCCCAAACTTGTGTAAGCTCAGAAATCTTGAGTAGGAGACAACAGTGATGAATATACAATGGGCCAAACCAGAAAAAGTGCCAATCGTTTAGGCACCCGAGACCTGCAACGAAGCATTAGGTGCTGTTGCAGATGGATAGTTGAACATAGAATGCACTAGCTGCCTTTCCTGTGTTTTGCAACACTTAAACAAGTTTTTCCGAAGTTTTTCTCAGCCTCCGTAAACCCGAACACAAGCAACACTCCTACACTGCATGAGGCATCTTTTTTTCGCTTGTGCCACGATGTGTTTCTGCTTGCCCAAAGAGATTTTGCAGTGCCCAAAACTGTCAAGAGAATGATGTATCTTGAGACCGCAACCATACGAAAAGCATGCCTCCAAGCAAAGGTGCTGAACAACCCTGCATGCATACCCTACACACCCATGTAAGCCCTCGGAATTTCCCGACTTTTGACATGAGCGGCTATGAAATCAGCTGCATTTCGGGCAGTGAAAAGCATCAAAAAGAGCCAACGACAAGCATCATCGAAATTGAGCCGCCGACACAACTTCCCAGATGCCGGTTTTCAGCCTTGCCGTATCCAGGCCCCCCAGGGCCAAAACCAGCGCTTTAAAGTAGCCTACCTTTTAACGTAGGTAATCCGGCCGCCCAAGTTGAGGACCAATATATGAATCCGACAGGGATTGTTATGGCTTATGTCGTATATGGATGGACCCTAATTAATACTTGTGAAGATAAACCCTAAACCCCTAGACCCTACACCCTACACCCTAAGGTCCTGAACTGAAGATAGATAAAGGACCCTAGTGCACACCGTTTCAGGTTGTCCTATCAGGCTTCCTCAAGTAAAGTATCCCTCATGCTGCAAACCCTAAACCCTAAACCCTAAACCGTATATATGGGAGTTTCCGAAAATAGGGGTACCTTATTTTGGGACCCATATAATAAGGATCCTCTTATTTAGGGTACTATATTAGGGTCCCCTATTTTCGGAAACTCCCATATTCCTACAGTAGAAGCCCCAAGAGTTGGAAACCCAATAGCCTCAATCCTCAAGAGTAATGTATAGGGAATCCCAGCACTATTTGGCCTTAATCCGGTTTCCAACTTTATGGGGTTTACTATATTCTTAGTGAGCTAGAAGAGACAGGGCCTCAATCAACACGAACTAAGCCAAAGCCAGTACTATCGTAATCGGGAGTATATGAATATGTGGTAGAACCTGGATGCGACGCACTGTTAAGACCCCGTGGCCGTACTTCTGAATCAGCAGTGATGAAGATTATGACAGCGCTGTAAAGAATGACGCCAATACAAGTGATGCTGAGCATGCTCATGACCGCAATGCTGATGTTGTTGAGATGATCCCAAAGGCTCCATGCCTTGTTACTAGGACTTTGGGAGCTTTTGGGGTGCCAAAGCCTATAAACCAGCATCGCTTGCACCCGTAAAGGAACCCTCACAAGAACCCTTGAAGGAGCCCTCAAAAGAACCCCTAAAGGACCCTTAATGGAGCCCTTAGCTATGTGCGGCGTGCAAACCGGGAATGCCACCCTTCGGAGCGCCAAGCTCTGCCTTCAAAGTTCAGTGTAGGAGTCTGAATGCTTCGGGCATGTGCTGATATTTTCTGCACTTGGGTTTTGAAGCAATCTAAGTACGGCTCAGTCTATACAGCATGGGCACATGTAGGGTTGACGAGTACATGGACCCTCACGCGAAGTTATCCGCCTATAGTTCCCATACACCTGCAGAATCTTACGAATTATACTATAAATGCCTCGAAGTAAGTTGTATAATATTAGCTCACTGACGTCCATCTATGGCTCGGCACTTTAGAACTCAGGACGGAGCTACTACTACTAGTACTACTACTACTACTACTACTACTACTGCTGCTACTACTACTACTACTACAGGACGGAGGTGGAGCCATGCAAAGCGAGATGGTGCTTCCACGTCAAAGCTCCTGCTGCTTGTCAGCTGCGGCGCTAACCTAGGATGCCCAGTAGTACCCTTATTAGGGGCTACCTTCAAAGGGATCTATGAGGGTTCCTTTAAAGGGATCTATAAGGGTTCTATAAAGGGTTTAGGGTTTCCAAGAATTAGGGGCTAGGATGCCCAGTAGTACCCTTATTCCCTTTTTGTAGTCCTAGGTTCCTTATAAAGTTACCCAATACCAAAAAGAGAGGCCTTTTTATTCTTAGGTTACTGGGTATCCTAGTAACCCTCAAATTGCTAAACAGCCGTTTAGCTGCCAAATGTCAGCTATGGTAGCCAGGCAGAACCCTGTCAAACATGTCGAACCCTAAACACCCTAAGCCCGAAACCCGGCACCCCAAACCCCATGATTCCTCTAAAGCCCAAACCCTGTGAGCTTGAAGCAACCGCCGAGAGACGGCCCAAATCCAACTCCCAAGCCTTATTGCTATTTCCCTAAGGGCCCATAAGGTTTCTTTTGCAGGGTTCCTTTAAGGCTTCCATATGGGTACTTGTCAAAATCAGGGTCCCTTTTTGTGTCCTTATTCTTATACGGCACCTAATATCTAGGGTAATCAAAAAGGGACCCTACTTTTGACAACCACCCATATGGGTACGATAAGGGTTTAGGGATACTTAGGGTACAGGAGGCCATGTATTCCATACATAGCCTTAAAGTTGTCCGAATTACAGGTACTTCAAGGGCCAAAGTATATGGACCGTTAGGGATAAGCATTGAAGGAAAAGCCCAAGCCTGACCAGGACCCTGCAACCATCTTTTCAAGGGATCTCGTCGTCCTCATGAAGTGGTGATTAGAGGCTACAGTAAAGGGTAGTTGGGGGGTCTAGGGAAATCCCTAAACCCAGTCTTACTAGTGTTCCTTGCTCGCGCCTTTGCATCCGTGAGAACGAAACCTAACCAAGTACTGCTGCTTAGCGAAGAGGAGGATATTAGGAGCCGTTTGGGGTGTAGGTTTTGAGCCCCGGGAACAGGATTTAGGGTTTATCGGGCTTGCTGGCTGACGGTTCTGGGCTTTGGGTTTGCATTTTAGGGTTTAGAGCTGGAGGGTCTCGGGCGTAGGGTGCTGTCGCCGGCGGGGGCCCGGATGCGTATGTTGGGGTCTGTAGTAGATTCTTGTGAGCCTAGAATTGCATTTCGATCGGAATAGCTTCGGTTATGAAATGTTGCCAAGGGGTTATCGGCTTGCAGCTGTACAAGTTTAGGTTGAGGATCTCCCAAATTTAATCCCTTGGTCTTCCTTAAGATCCTTAAAGAAAGTAAGCTCATATAGAAGACTGAGTTATTACCAATTTCATTCCTTAGCATATACCCGAATTCTGCAGGGTCGGATCATGATTATACGATGATATTTCCCAAAATCTGCTGAGATCTCTGTAATCCCTTCCCCCTAATATTAAACCGCTCCCCCCCCCCTCCCTAATATAAAAACTGGATTTCGGAGGTTTAGGTTTTATATTAGGGTGGGTTTGGGTTCGGTGCATCCACGTACCCGGACTCCCAGCTGCTAGCTATCCTAAGCCTGGAGCCCTACTAAAGCCCTAAGCCTCCAGCCCTGGACCCTAAAGCCCTGAGCCCTAAACTTTAAGCCCTAAAGCCCCAAGCCCTAACGCTTTAGCCCTGAGCCCTAAACCCTTAAACCTAAAGCTCTGGTGTCTTTAGTACAGGTGTAATTGGCTCTATAAAGTCCTGAGCCCTAAAGCTTTAGCCCCTTAAACCCTAAAGCTCTGCTGTCTTTAGTACTACTGTAGTCTTCGTTCAATTAAAATAACACATACAGATCTGCCACCCCCCCTAATGTTGTCCCTTTTAAATTGAATGTGGGGCCCGAAACCGCGAAATTCCGGGGGCCGGAAGTTTTTATATTAGGGGGGGGTTGAGTGTTAGGGGGAAGGGATTAGATTTAATGCACTGGGTTTTCGTCTTGGGGGGCGGGGGCGGGGGTGGGGGGCGAGAGTTGTCGGCTTATTGGGCCCAGGGCTTGTACTCTAGAGCTGTCGACGAAGAAGATAAGTAGCTAATCTTGAGGGTTACGGTTCTCCTTTTGGTATGGTTCAGTATGATTGACCACCCCACCTATAGTCTCCATTGTAGTTCCTTTTTGGGGTTCCCTTTTAGGATCCCTAATATAGAATTGGTTAAACCAAAAAAAGGATCTACAATGGAGACTATAGGTAAACCCTAAAACCCTAAATCTAAGCCTCTCGGGACCTTCGGGCACCGCAGAAAAAGGAGCTCAACCAAACATCTCAGCGTCTGCAACCCACAAACCCCAGACCTGTAAAGAGCTGCCGCTGAGGATGCCCTGCCAACAGCAAGGGCAAAGCACAGATGCTTGGCTTTATGCTTTTACGGTTTAGGGTTCGGGGTGCAGAGCTTTGAGGTTTAGGTTTCAGGGTGTAAGGTTCATCGCACCATGCACTGCAAAACCTGGAGCCAGCAGCTCTACATGCGGCCTTCAGACTTCGGGGTGCCTAAAAATCCGGCTACGTTGGGTCTGTATTGCTCGCGCATATCTTCCGAGACATCAGTGTTGATACTCTAATACAGGGGGCCGAAATAATTACCAAGACTATTCATAGATTCATAATTATTATTGTATATTAAGTACACCAAAACCCTGAGTTATTTCTAATTAATTACTATAATCATTGTATATCAAATACACCAAAACCCTATTCTACTTATTGTAAATATTGTATATTAAATATACCAAAACCCTATTCTAATTATTAAGGCCCCTATATTCACAGAGGTTTGGGAGCTTCGGGGCTTTTGCTCTCAACAGAAGCCTGTGGCAATCTGGGAAGTGCTTTAACGTATTCGGGGTTTGGGGCCCAGACTGCGGCAGGTAATTTCGGGACTTTCATGAGTAGAAAAGGGTTTTTGGGTCACGTTATACTATACGTATAGCAACGACTTAGACGCCTAACAACCCCGAACCGAACCCCACCTCAACTTTCCGTAAGCTGTTCTTGCAATGTCCTAATAACAGGCTTGTTGCGTGATTTATTTGCAATGCCCTAAAGGGTCCAAAGGACACCAATAATTTGGCACTCGGGTTTCGGATGGTAGTTTTGTAGGCTAGTGCATGTATTCGGCAGAGTATATGATTGCGAGGTACCTGGCCCCTTAGGGATAGGGACGCTGCAAGGGAACATCAGGGTGGGTTCGTCTTGGGCATCCGACAAAAATCTCAAATGAGAGACCCAATGTCGGCTAAATGAAAGAACATCATATCCCCCAAAAGGAGAGGCTTCAGTATGTCGTAGTGTATATATTCCTACAAAATCACCGAACATGCGTTGAAAAGTAGAGGCCTCAATCTCTCTCAAGGTCTATCCCTCAGTTAAGGAGCCTCGGGATCTCTCCGAACGGCTCTCATACTGCTGATGGACAAAATCCTGCATTACCCACTATAAGGAATATACCATAGTTCCCATAGTTTAGAGTCCTTAGGGTCATGCCATGCAGGATTTTGTCCATCAGCAGTAGCGCTCAAACTTTATTTATGATGCTCGGGAGATCGAAGATGATTGAGGCTTATTTATGCAGGCCTGAAGCCCTAAAACCTAATCCGTAGAGCATTGCAGGGCAGTGGAGTACCAGGTCTAGCTTTACAAGGCTTCAGACACCAAAAACCCTAGGCCCTATAAACCCTAACCCCTGAACCCCTGGATCCGACTCTCAATCCCGAGAGTCCGAAAAGCCCCCACCCTTGAACCCCTAAGGCAAACCCCTTTACAGTAAACCCCATAAAGTTGTGATTAAGGCCAAATAGTGCTGGGATTCCTTATACATTACTGAACTCTTAAGGATGGAGGCTATGGGGTTTCCAACTTTTTGGGGTTTACTGTAAAAACCCAAGACCTGCGATCCAAGGAGCAACCCACGAGCGGTTGGATCTGTCCCTGGAGCAGGCGACAGCAGACTTGCAAAAACCAGGGTAGGTAGGGTTTACGGGTTTGGGGGTTTAGGGTTTAGGGCCTTGGGGAATTTAAGCTTAGAGTTTCAGCGGGGTTCGAGGGTTTGGGGTTCCGGCAGGATGCCGGATTTAAGGTTCAGGTGTTTTTTTCAGATTTTTGGAACCTATTGGTTCTCGCTCTTTGCTTTATGCTATGCCATCAGAAGCCATAGGAAAGTTCGCCTGGATTCAGGGCTGAGAGTTTATCCGGATGGCAGGGGTCATCTTGCTTGCAGGGTTTGGGATTTGAACAAATAGGCTTTAGTTAGGACTGAGTGTTTATAGTATGGTTTACAAGGCTTCTTTAACTAATAGGATTTATTTGGTTGGCTAGGGTCAGAGAATGTTCCAGGCCCTGGCTATCACCGTGCGCGACCCGAAGCTGCTTTTGCGGATCCTGGACGCAGAGGGCAGCGAGGCCGGGCAAAGAACCAATTCGCCCTGAACCCTAAACCCGCCTTAAACCGAGTGTGGTGTTTCGAGCCGAGAGGTTCGCTGCTTTGGGGCGCAGGGTAGTACGGAGCTTTACGCCAGAGTTCGCAACCTGGAGGTTGAGTTTCTTCGGGATCGGTAGTGTATATGGACCCGTTGGATCTCTGTATTAACCAGAACCCTACTTCAAAAGAATACGAACCTTTTTATACTCCAATTCGTTGAACCCAAAGGTTGTATACGCAGCTAGTCGTAGCACACTTCTGACCAAACGGAAATCATGCTGGAATTGCGCTAGCTAAGATTTAAAACTCTTCGCAGGCAGTGCGAGCCATTTTACGGGCCGCATTCGGCAAAATTTGCAGGTGTAGACGTTCAGGTTTGTTCGGGCTCCAGGAGCTAACGGCTATAGGGCTTATGCCTTACCTTCAGGGCATGAGGAAAATGGTGTTCCAACTTTCTGGCTGCCACTGTATGATACACCCCGAGGCCTTCATTTCATTCGCAAGGCCCCGGTATGATAATTTGAGCCCAGGCTCCGAGCCCCAACCTGGGGATTCAGCCTGGTCCTGTTCGTCATACAAAAGCCTGACTTTGTTCTCTTTGTTTGTTGTATATTGTACATGTTCACAAAAGATTCTTTGGAACTGCAGGGTGTATTTTGCTATCACTTTGATTAGTTTCCAGAGCCCTTTACTGCCTGAGTCGGCAGAAGCCCACATTGCATCCGAGCCCCAAGATCTTTAGTGTCAAATCTTTCCCAGACCCTTGAGAGTGGTTACAGCAAGTTGCCTGAATGTCGCATTTCGAAAGACCATCGCCATGAATATAACAAATCCCCGGACTAGCTTCGATAGCTAACCCTCGGGCTCTTCTTTGGGCCCCAATGCCTAGAACTGGGTCCCCGGGGGGCGATCGAAGCCGGGCAGGTAGACTTTTCCACCTGCCGTGAGCTGGGTGTGCCCGGAGGCAGACCACAAAGAGAGGAGTTCAGGTAAGGCCCTTTAAAGTTTCGGGATCTAGTCATCTGGTGTTTACGGGTTGAGAGCCCTAAACCCAACAGTACCCCAAACCATGGTTTACTTTCCTTCTACCGAACTCCTGCAAAGGCCAGAATCATAGAACCTTGAACCCTAAAGTTCTTGCGAATAATCTAAAGTCCGATGTTCTTGCGAATAAGCAAAAGTCCGATGCACTTTAAAAAAAATTGCGCTTGTGCGCTTTCAGGGCAGGCCCACGACTCGCAATCATTGTAGGCCCCTGGACTGCTCTTCTGTGCCCAAAGGTGAAGGGGGCCACAAACTGCAGCAAAACAACCTGTCGCGGCGGTTTGGGGTGAGGGGGTTGGGGGTGTGCGGTTTAGCTTTAGGGTTGATTTGAGCGTGGAAATAGGATTAAACGGTTTTGTCCGGTTTTGCACGCTGGTCCGCTGCGGTTTCCGGGCTTTCGTCGCTCGATCAGTGGCCTTTGCAAAACGTAAGTCATCCCGTGATCCCCAAGCCCAAACCACCTGGACCCTGCCCTGAACTTCCAAGCAACCCCTGCGAACCTCCACCCAGGGTTCAGGGCCCCTGAACCCCACTTCCTCAACCCTACAACCGTTACAACCTCCAGCCCTAAATGCCAAGTCCTCCCCTCTTACACCTTGAGTTCTCAACAGCAGCCCTCCAGGACCCTCCTTGTACCCTCAAATAGGGGGTATATGGTCCCAAATAGTGAGTCTAATAGAGTGTAGATGGAGGGTCCAGGCTGTATTTTCAGTCCTGAGCCTCAAACCCTATAAGTCTTCGTCTCAGCTCCTTGACGTGCATGTTCTGGCTAGGATCCTGTAACGTCCGGGCGGTGAACGAACCCAGAGGGTCCAAGTACCCAAATAGTAGGGCTTTAGATCCCTAAAACCCATACCCTGAGTGGTTTGGGGAGCTTGAAACCCTACTATTTGGGCACTTGGACCCTTAATAACACAGACTACAAAGGATGCGACAAGAGGGCCCTAAATCTTCAAGCCTGTAGCTACGACAGGTCTAGCCCCGGGATCCCTGCGCCGTGGCGGCGACCTACGTGGCAGGATCAGGTGCCTTGAGTTGGGTAACATGAGGGCTTTCAGATCTGAGGTGTCACCGTGTAAGTGAAGGATTTCGGGCTGGATTTTGGGGATCTACAGTCTACAGCTTTGGACGGTTTAGGGTATAGGGTTTAGGGTTAGGGGCGGGGGAGGGGGTTGTAGGTTTGAGGCCTATGAGCCATGGGGTTTCGGGCTTAGTGCTTTTGGCCGCAGGGGTCTATAGGGATGTATGTAGGGTTGAGTCCTGGGGCCTGGGGTTGGGGGTAATCTACTGAAAATTTCTGGTGAAGAGCTTCAGGGGTTAAGGCTCCCAGTGCAATTTGTTGTACTTCTGTTGATGATATAAATCCTGCATCACCTTAAGGGCCCTAAACTATGGGAATAATGGTGTATTCCTCATTATGGGTAATGCAGGATTTATATCATCAACAGTTAGAGTCTCCATTGTAGTTTCTTTTGGGGGGTTACCTTAAAGGATCCTTAATAAATATTTGGTTAAACAAAACGGAACTACAATAGAGACTCTATAGGTAGAGTCGAGACCGCGGTGCCGGCGAGCTTTGCGTTGCAAGCGGCTTATTGGGCTTTCAGATGATCTAGTTAGAATCCAGGCCAGATAGCTATATTGTTTGAAAGCAGGGCTCGTCCTCCGCTTGCAGAAGAAACTGAAGAGTGTTTAGTAGGCCTCTCAGGAAACAGAAGGTTGTTGAGGGTTCTATTCATGCTTGATTGATTTTGTAAACGTGTCCCATTTTGCGACATGTCGTTCGTGTGCCTGTTGCATCTTCATTCGTTGTTTCGTCTTCTCGAAGATTGCTCTGGCTCCTTTCTCGCTCAAACCCCAGCCCCCAAGCCCTAAGCCAATACAATCCAAATCAGCTTAGAAGCCCAATACCTAACCGTCTCAATCCTGTCAGGGTCACGGTACCCTGCGCAGATCAGAAGTTGCTGCGCACCACTTTGAGACAGCTTCTTGACGTGAATCAGATTAATTGGCACCTTCAACAACTAAGAAGTCCCACGGTGATTCTTGCACAGCTTCTTGCATGATTCTAGTTTGTCGTTCCCAAACCCTGAACCCCTAAACCCTAAATCGCTAAACCCTGAACCCCTAAACCCTGGACCCTAAACTCAGCTAGCTTACTATAAGAAGACTCTCGGGCCAACAGTTATCCATGAGCAGACAAGGTCCATAAACCCCGTGCAACCATCACTCAACCAAGCAAAACCTCAGCCCTAATTAACCTACATGCCCTCAAAGAAAGATGTGCGACGCTGAGTCCTGCGCGGTTCAGCCTCTAGACCCAATTTCGTAAACATTACACCGTAAACCACTGAAGCCTACAACCTACACACTGTAGACCCCTGCCGCTGCCCCTAACCCACGACCCCGGAACTTAATCCTTAATGTAGGAACCTGATTACGGAACCCTGGGCCTATAACCCCAAAATAGTAGAGTTCATACAAGGAACCCTTTCCAAGCCCAAAGTTTCTTAAGCAGGTTCCTACATTAAACCGTAAACCCCTGCACCCTGAGCTCCGAGTTCCACATTCTTCGCTTCGAACCGAACCCGGCAGCTGAACAAAGGAGACCCTAAGCCGTCAATCCGACATCCTAAACCCTGCATGTAGCCGAGAAAGCCTGCATGTTAGGCTTCCTTGGCTTGGTCATACTTAGGGGTAACATTTTTATATTTTCATGGGTACTTAAACCCAAGAAGGAATAAGACTGTACATTTTCAATACTATCCCAAATATGAACCAACAAGTATATGAGTTCCTTATGCAAGTCCTTGAAAAGGTAGGTTGTTTCGGCTGAGGGTTCAGACCAGAATCCTAAGGCCTACCTATAGTCGGCATTGTAGTTCATTTGTGGGGCTACCTTATAGGGCCCTTAATAGGCTACGGCAATAAAAGAAACTCAATGGAAACTACAGGTAGACCCGAGGTTTTCGGGTGCAGGCTCCTTCGACACACCATTCTAGACGTTGGTGAGTGTTTCGGGTTTCAGGGTTTGGGTGTTGCGGGTGTAAGGGGTTTAGGGTCAAATCGTATCCCCATACAGGGCCCCTAATCATGAGCTCGAAGCCAGTACTGTAATGATTGTTGATTACACATTCCGAGGCCGCACGAAACAGTAGATCATAATGCGACGGCAAGAACGTGCAGATTTGACGCGCATCGTAGCTCCCGGTAAGGCCCTACAAAAGCCTTGTAAAACACCCCAAACACCTTCAAAAATCTACCGTGCTAGCTGAGGCTAGGAGCTTTCCGCGCCCGCTGCAGCGAGCCGCCCTGGTGGCAATTGGGGGCTGTTCGATTCCTTTAAGGGTTCCCTGAGCCCTGCTTCTCTTATTCTCTCACGTCGAATTGACGAGGTCTGTAGGTATCCATGTGGGATAGCTTGTAAAAATTTCGCTTGTTGTTTCATGTCGAGCCGCGCAAGCAAGTTTTGGGAACTGTTGAAATCGACACCTACGTACAGTCTCCATTGTAGTTCTTTTTTTGTTTAACCAGTGTTACGGGCAGGATTCTATCAGGTAACCCCAAAAAGGAACTACAATGGAGACTATAGGTAGTAGACCTAGATCCTCAACTACCCTCTCTTCATACTGGGCCATATAAAGACTCTATTACAAGGGCCCTTGGGGGGTTGTTTTATAAGCAGGATTCTATAAGATAACCCGCAAAACCAACTACAATGGATGCTAAAGCCCTAAACCCTAAACCCTAAACCTAGCGCAAACCTGACAACCCGAAGCTCTCCGCACCGTCTCGCAGTACGAAGAACGACGAGGATGAGCGATCCCCGAGGCGTGGCTGGGGTACTCTAGTCGGAGGCTGTAAAAGGTGGGATGAAGGTAGGTGAGATATTCCCAAAGACGAGTCTTTATATAAGGGAGCCTTGATCCTACCTACTCCTGTTGTAGGGGCCTAAATAACTACCTATACTATTTGGGGGTTCCTTACTATACCTATTATAACTGTAGTATTAAACCCAGTTTTACTTATCAAGGCCCCTATGTCATGCTCAGGATTTAGGGTTTTGGGGCCTTCAACTTGAGAGTTTAAAGGGTTTGGGTTTTGGTGGTTTAGGGTTCTGAAGGTTTAGGGGTTTAAGACAAGTATCAGGTTTTAGGCGTCAGGGTTTAGGTTTTGCAAGAATGCCCCAGAAGCCCTTCTTCAAAAGGCCCTTATGGTCCTTGATGGGGCGTAGTTGGGCTATAAGAGACGATAGGAAGTTTGGGAGTTCTCGGTCGTGGGGTTAGTGCTTTGAGTTGTTTGGGTTTAGGGATTAGGGTTTAGGGTTTAGGGTTTAGAAGATCAGGGGGCGCAGCATGTCAGTTCTAAGTAGGATGACGTCTAGGGTATCGCCAATCAGAGTATTTATGACATTCAGCACAGCCCACTTATGTACTAATATAGGGTCCTTAATAATTACCTATATTAGCCATACTATTTTGGGGGCTCCCGATTACAATTATAGTATAATGGAGCCCAAACCGTATTCTAATTATTGAGGCCCCTATGTCCCTCAATCCCGTATAGGAACCCGTATGGTAATTTCTATAGACCCCTTTAAAAGGAGCGCTTCAAGGTAGAGCCCTATTCTAACTATTGAGGCCCCTATATGTGCCAGCATCCGCGCACCCCCCCCCCCCCCCCCCCCCCCCCATGGTAATCCCCCCCCCCCCCTGTGGTTCCCCCCCCCCCCCTGTGGTTCCTGTGTGGTTCCTCTTGGTTTTCCCCCTCCCTTTTGTGGTTCTTCTGGTTCCTGTCTCCCCCCTCCCCCCCTGTGGTTCCTGTGGTTCCTCCGCGTGGTTGCTGCTGCTTTGTTGTTGCTGCTGTTCTTCTTCTTGTTCTTGTTCTTGTTCTTGTTGTGTGGTCGCCCGGGTCGGGGGGGGGGGATACCATTGGGGGGGGGGGGGGGGGTCGAGAACGCGGAGCGCGGGCACATATGTGCCAGCACCCCCCCCCCCCCCCATGGTAATCCCCCTCCCCCCCCCTGTGGTTCCTGTGGTTCCCCCCCCCCCCTGTGGTTCCTCTTGGTTTTCCCCCTCCCTTTTGTGGTTCTTCTGGTTCCTGTCTCCCCCCTCCCCCCCTGTGGTTCCTGTGGTTCCTCCGCGTGGTTGCTGCTGCTTTGTTGTTGCTGCTGTTCTTCTTCTTGTTCTTGTTCTTGTTCTTGTTGTGTGGTCGCCCGGGTCGGGGGGGGGGGATACCATTGGGGGGGGGGGGGGGGGGGTCGAGAACGCGGAGCGCGGGCACATATGTGCCAGCATCCGCCACCCCCCCCCCCCTCCCCCCCCCATGGTAATCCCCCTCCCCCCCCCTGTGGTTCCTGTGGTTCCCCCCCCCCCCTGTGGTTCCTCTTGGTTTTCCCCCTCCCTTTTGTGGTTCTTCTGGTTCCTGTCTCCCCCCTCCCCCCCTGTGGTTCCTGTGGTTCCTCCGCGTGGTTGCTGCTGCTTTGTTGTTGCTGCTGTTCTTCTTCTTGTTCTTGTTCTTGTTCTTGTTGTGTGGTCGCCCGGGTCGGGGGGGGGGGATACCATTGGGGGGGGGGGGGGGGGGGGGGGGGGGGGGGGGGGGGGGGGGGGGGGGGGGGGGGGGGGGGGTCGAGAACGCGGAGCGCGGGCACATATATGCCAAAAGTCCACTGATCCTCGGAGTATGGGAATCGTCAGTTCAGGATTTGAAGTTCTGGACGTTTTGGGGTTAAGGGTTAAGTGGTTCTAGGGTTAAGTGGTTCTAGGGTTTAGGGCTTTGGGGTCAAGGGTTAAGTGGTTCTAGGGTTTAGGGTTTAGGATTCAGTGGTTCCAGGTTTAGGCTTCATGCGGTGGTTTACCAGTTGAAAAATGTTCGTGCCCTTTTCCCTCTGGCTCAGCTTCAGTTCACTTCATGAGGAGGATACTATAGGGGCCTTAGTGATCATCCATACTATTTGGGGAGTTCCTCCTCATAGTTATGGTATAATGGGCCCCAGAACCCTTTTCTAATTATTAAGGCCCTTATATTCAGTAATTTGAGCCCCTAGACTTGAGATTGCCTGCTCTGGCAACTCCAGGACTCATGGAAATAAATGTTTTTGTGATTTTATCTGTGGTTTTGCTGAGATGTCGCTGTGATTCCAAAAAGTGCATGTGATTTGGACTGTGATTTGGCTGCGGTTTTTCTGTGATTTGAAAATGTGCTTGTGATTGGGCTGTGATTTTGCCGTGATTTGGCCCTAAGTTTTCTGTGATTTGGCTGTGATTTGACTGCGGAGGCCCGTCCCGAATCGCAGCTAAATCACAGCCAACTCACGGCTGAATCACAGCCGAATGGTACAGGCCAGGGGTTTAGGCTGTAGGGTTCTGTAGGCAGCACGGTTTTCGGCTTCAGAACCCTAAACTCTAAACCCTAAACCGTATCCTCAACACGCAGTCGTGCTATTGTCGGAGTTCTCGGCTGCTCCCAAAGTCCCTGCTTCGACAACTGCGATTCACGGTTTACTCCTTAAAATGGGAAATTAGAATAGAGAGGGTGTTTTATACTATAATTAACTCTAATATTAATAATAATCATAATATTAATAATAATAATAATAATAAGTCCTCTCCAAACTAGTATTGGTAATTAATTATGAAGGCTTCTAGCTTTGGCCTTGGGTTTCGGGTTCTGAGAAGTTGGTGTGAGTAGCGATCCCTCCAGAACGCGTCTCCGTCAGGAGGATCTCGACCGTCTCCAGTGCCTCTGCTGGTGTGGATACATCTTACGAGGCAGGGTCTCGACCACCGGTTTTCCGGGTTTCCCGGGGTTTGGAAACCCCAGGGTTTCTGAGGGTTGAAGGCTTTAGGATTCAGGGTTCAGGGTTTAGGGTTTGGGGTTGTTTAGGGTTTGGGGTTGTTTAGGGTTTCAGGGTTTGTGGTTTAAAGGTCTTGGGGAACCTACCTACATTGGCCGCATCTCTGCGAATGAATTCTGCGCTCAGGAGTAATATAGAAGCCTGAATAAGTATCAACATTATCACTTTTGGGGCTCATTGAAATAAGTATACTATAACGTGCCCCCAAGCCCTAGTCTAATTATTGAGGCCCCTACAGTATCGCCACTGCGTCATGTGTGGCTCGCTTGCTCAGACGCTTTACAAGAGACAAGAGGGAGCTCCTCCCAAACCCAAGGATTTTAGTGCTCTGGGGGTTCAGGATTGAGGGGTTTGGATGGGTTTGGTTTTAAGGGTTCAGGGTGTGGGGGGTTTAGGGTTAAAGGGTTTTTAACTCGGCCCATGAACCTCCACTTGACGCAGCTTGGTCCTGGTCTAGAGATGCCTTGGACATGCTACCCTGAACCCTAACGCTACGACAAGCCTGGTTCTCTGACCCTGTGGGCTTAAAGTGTATGTTAATTACGGCTATAACAGACTGAAACATTGAAGGTTCATGGTCGTGGTTGGTCGAAGCCCACTGACCAAAAGCAGGCGTCAACCTGTCCGAAATCCAGCCTGCTTAACAGTCAAGATCTGCATCATCAAAAGCAGCATCCAAGCCAACGCGTCCAAATAGGGCTGTCAGCTGAAAGCCTGCAAACCTAAAAGCCAATGACTGAAACCCCCAAACCCTCAGCCGTTTTAATCATAGATTCCTCACCCCTGTACCTGTAAGTTCTCGAAGGTCATAACTTGGGAACTGCTTGCGCAGGGCTGCGACAGTAACGTTACCGAGTTCGTCCTTACCCAGTCTGACCTGAGGTGTGATTTTTTGGGCGTTGGCTACATACAGGCATACAGGCGTGATGTAATGGAAACCAGTAGCTAACTGTTAAGTTCCGTAGACTCTAAGAAACAAGACAGTCGCAGAACAAAAGAGGCGGCCCAGTCGACAAAGTCGCACGTCTCCACGGCGTCGCGGCCCTCGCGGGTGTCCAGGCTTTCGTGAGTTTCGTTGTTTGGTTTATGTCAATAGAGGTAAATGGTCCCAAATAAGGGGCATTTAGGGTCTAAAAGAGGGTAGATGGAGGGTCTAGGTACGTTTGTGTTGTGAGAACTTTTGTGTTGGGTTTTACAAGGTTGTGTCATAGTGTTTTAGGGTTTGCTTGATCAGATCATAAGAGCAGCTGGGGGTTGGAGGTTTAAGGTTTGCTGGTTTAGAGTATCCTCCAATGTTGTTGGGTTTTCAGGTGGGCCTGGAAGTACTGTAAAAGCACGGCATACGCATTGAGTTTAAGATGAGTTGGATCGTGGGTTTTCAAGATTTGGGTCGCGGAGGGTTTAGGGTCAGGGTCCAGGGTCTAGAGACGGAGCTCCGTGGAGCATCGGATGTAGTCTAGAAGCTTAAAATAAATACGTAATTACAGCTATAGCTATTATTCTGTAATTAGGCCTCCCAACGACAAGTACACTACAGTACGCGCCCAAAACCCTGCTATTCTCATTACAATGCGGTATCCCTAATTGTCGGAAACTCCCATATGGCCATTTTCTGTATACTAAATCCTAGAGCCAGGCAAACTCGCAAACCCTAAACCCTACTCTAGGTAATACACTTTTTTGCAAAGTTTCTTGTTGGGATCCCTTATTTTACAACCAAACAGTATTAACAAGGGTACCCTGATTATTCTGGAAATCCAGAAGATTCTTGTTAAGTTGAGCTAATCCGGCTCTCCTCCATGACATGACCGCTCTTTGAGACTTCAGGTACCCTTTCATATTCTTCGTTCGTACTCAGGAACCCAGTACTGTATTCTAGACCTTCGACCCTAACTTGAACTTTAATCGCAACCCTGATCTGAATGAAGACTAGACCTTAAACCCTGAACATCCCTAAACCCCGAATCCTAAACCCTGAGCTCTGAACCCCGAATCCTAAATCCTGAACTCTAAACTCCGAATCCTGAACATTGAACTCTGATCCCCGAGTCCTAAACGCTGAGCTCTAAACCCTGAGTCCTAAACCTTAAACTCTAAACCCCGAATCCTAAGCTCTAAACTCCGACACCTAAACCTTAAATTCTAACCTCCAAATCCTAAAGAGTCCCAATGCGTGGCAGGGTCTCCGCAACCTGGCCGCCCCCTTCCGCGGAGACGGCGTACACACTGGAGGCACGGATCTTAGTACTGTGAGATTACGCAGTGCTCTAGGGACTTAGGGTTGAAATTCGGATTCTGGGCTTTAGGGCTCAAATTTTGGGTGTCAGGGTTGAGTGGTTTAGGGCATTTTGGGGTTTGGGGGTTTTGGATTGTCAGGCCTTGGAGTTTGGGATTTAGGGTTTATGTGGTCAAAGCTTAAAATGCTAAGGTTTAGTGTTCACGGGTGTAGGGTGGTGAAGGGTTCCATGTCCGCCTTGCTCAGCTTTTTGGGCGATATCCGGTAGTTGTGCCGCCGTCAAAGTACAATTTTGTGTTGTAGTCCAGGGCTCAAGGGCAAACCCAGAACGCCCATACGGGAAAAGCCAGAAAGTTGGAATATGATTATCCTAACCCTTCTATGGTAAATTATAGGGTATCCTACCATCAAACCATATTCCAACTTTCTGGAGTTCCCTGTAAGTCTATAAGCCTATACATCGTCAACCCGAAACCTCAAGGACCAAACCCTATCCCCGAAGATCCTAAACGGCCCTAAACCCTAAACTCGAGATTCCGGAGTTATGCCGCAAAGTGAGTAGGCTTGAGTGTATTAAAGGCTCAGAAGCCACGAGACCCTGAATGGGGTCTGGGGTTTAGGGTTAATACGGTTGATGATATAAATCCTGCATTATCTTAAGGACCCTAAACTATGGGAGTTATGGTATATTCCTTATTATGGGTAATGCAGGATTTATATCATCAACCGTACGTCAGGGGTTCCGGTTGTTTATGTGTACCGGTTCGGGATACCTCGATTCCATAGAAAGGCTCATTGCTGTAAAATAGGTAGTAGCCGGTTTAGAATCAAATCGGGTAGAGCAACTGGAACTCAGTCAGCTACTAAGTTAGCCATAAACCGGGTTGTTAGTTTAGGGTTTGCCACGTTTTCGCTGGGCCCTGGCAGCTGGGAGAGGCTGCATGTCAAAAATACACCCTCCAACATAGTAAGTGCCCGCGCCTCTGTGTAGATTGTTCGTTTCTGGAATGGTTCTTGTGTTTCAACATGTTGTCCGAAAGAGGTGTATCTTATGTTTTTTCTCTGTATGTGCACCCTGATAGTAAGATACCCTAGGTTTTGAAACCTAGACCCCATACTCCATAAACCCTGAACTTGAGGGGCATAGAAGCCCCCACGATTTCTAAACCCTAAACCCCTAAACCCTAAACCCCTAAACCCCTAAACCTTGAGCCCTGAACCCCTATAGGCCCTAGACCCTATACCGTATCCCTCTGACCTTCTTAGGCCTTGCCTCGGCCGGCAAAGATCGCCGGGCGCTGGGTGCCAGCAGGGGCCGTGCTGGACGTGATTCGCTATGTACCGCCAGGCAGGAGATAAGCTTTGGGGATTAGTTCAGACCCTTCCGATGGGCTTCACAACACATGGAATTCCGATGTAGCAGAATTCCGATGTAGCAGCATTTTTGGGTCCAAAAGCCTTCTAAATCTTCATCAGCATCAGAGCTTTTGGAGGAGGGACATGCATTACCGGGGCTATTTCGCGTTTACAGGGTTTGACGGCTTCTTGCGCTCCGGCTGCAAGATGTCCAAACGAACCAACCTCGGCAACGAGACCGACGCTCGCCTTTCAAACCGATGCTTCCATGCAGATGTTTGGAGATTTTACCGGCGCCGGCACCACAACCTCCACCACCATGCTTCTAATGATGTCATCTACGACTATACAACTCAACTGCTGCAGCCACGACCCGCATTTTGTCGACAGGGGACTGTATTTAACGATGAAAATGACGACAATGACGTAACGTTAACTCATGCAACAGTGAGGCGCAGTCAAGAAAGCACCATACTTTTGAATACTACTCCTTATGGTTCCGTTTCTAGATGTTTGTAGTATATGTAGTATCTTGACCGGCGCCCTAAGACCTTGTCTAAATTATGATAAGATTCCGATGCAAGCAACAACCGGAGGCCTCAAAAGGTGGGATGAAGGTGGGTAGGATCAAGGATCCCTTATATAAGGACTCTCATTTGGGAATATCCCACCTACCTTCATCCCACCTTTTGAGGCCTCCGAAACAGCCCGGCAGGTGCGAGCCTTGACGAAGCCCCGGTAGAGTTTGCAGAGACTTTCCTTGCCCGGCTCAGCCGCAAGCGCTTCGGGAAAGGAGGCCGGCTGTGCTCTCACCGTCACACCCGAAACACTATTCCACCAAGCCCGACACCCTGAACTCCTGAACCCCTGAACCCCTGAACCCCTAATTCCTTAAACCCCCTAAACTTTTAAACCCCAAACCCCTGAATCCCTAAGCCCTAAGCATACGCAGATCTCGGTTAACAGCAAACTCAACAAAACAGCAGAAGCCAGGGAAAAGTCTCGTTGGGTGGAAGAGTCTTCTGTTGTCACGGTGCCGAGGTTTCGCGGTATTTTCGCCGGATTGGAAAACTACAGGGGTTTTGGGGCCCCGGTGAAGGTTTCAGGATTTAGGATATACCGAACATTAGGTGTAGGAGGAGCTTCTAGCCCAAACATGAGCGCTTAGTGACTTGAGTTTCTGTAATCGGTCACGAGATGTCACGTTGGACATTGAAACACCGAAACCCAATACCCTCAGCCCTCAGCCAAGAGGGCATTGGTAAGAGCAGTCAAACCCTAAGGCTCCATGTACCCTTATAGTCATAGTATATACTTAGGCCTTAAAGTAGCTATATAGGACCCCGTTAAGGCCTAAGTAGCCTTTGGGAAAGCATGATGTGTGTTGAAGGTCTACCGGAGTCTATCGTTTCCAGGAACTTTTCAAGAATTGGATGACGACGCCAAACCCCAGACTACACTTGGAGGGTCGGGGGACTTAGTATGTAGTTATTTTAGAGACTTATAAGTATCGTAACCCCTATTCAGGGTCCCTATTAGGGTACTTATAAGTCTACTTAATACCTACTTACTAAGTCCCCCGACCCTCCAAGCACAATTTAAAGTTGTTATGCGCGAGTTTGGAGCAGGGTGAGTCGCGATTCTTTGAGAAATCGTGGACCCAGGCAGGCAGGCATTTGCAGGATATCCCTTCAACAAGTCGTTTTGGTATGGTACTGTTGAAAGGGCCAAAATCTATGGCCTGAATAATTCTTTCCCTCAGCTTTCAGAGCCTGGCGCAGACGCTAAAGCCCCCTCGTTGAATCCGAGACCCCTCAACCCAATAAAAGACCCTACCTATAGTCTTCGTGGTTCCTTTTGGGGGTTACCTTCAAGGATTTTCAATAAATACTGAGTAAAACTACTGGTAGATCCTATAAACTGGCAGGCGTCCTGCGAGACAGCAGGGGCGAGTTGATCCTGGAGTTCCAGCGCCCAAACGATCCGTCACTTGCCAGTCGCGGGATTTAGAGGTCTCACGGCTTCCACGAATACTATGTTTAGGGATGTTAAGATATAGGCTAGGGTTTGCTTGTCATTGTAATCGGGCTTGACTGTTTCCCAGGCCAGAAGATTCCATGCACATCCATCACTTGCAGTCATGTATGTACATGTAGCCAGTAGCACTTCGGGCGCAGTTGGAGCAATATCCGTGTGTTGCCGCGAGATGTGCAGAAGTTCTCTGGAGTCAAAGCAGAGTTGGAGCAGCTTTGAGATAGTAGTGTTTGCTCTGCCTGATGCTATGTACGACAGTGTATACCTGCACATGCCTTCTACAGGTAGATGCGCTTTTGTAAGCTATGAGCAGAACAGTGTTTCAGCTGCACACACGAGAGTGTAACATGTGGCTATCTATCTATCTATCTATCTTGGCTAAATTCCCTCTACTTTAACCAGTACATCTACATATACTTCATATGTATGCTTACATGCATGTGTATATGCATATGCAGGTGCATATGTATATGCACATCTATATATATATATACATATATATATACACACATACATACATACACACACACACACACACACTTGTTTAGATACATACATAGGCACATAGATATGACTACTGGTGTCATTACGTATGTTGGCGAGACAACAGCCTCAAGCTCACCCGAAGAATAATAGGCTCGACCTTCACACAGAGCTCTGTGAGCTGCTCTTGAGTCGCAACGAGGCATCTGCTTCTTCCGGGTGAAGGGTGGTTCAATCTTATGCCAAGACTCCTGGATCCTGATCAACCTACCTTTACAAGGACCTGCATATAGAAGTCATAATAAGGAGCCCTAAAAAGGTGGGTTCGTCGGAGTCCAGGTAGGCTTTAATCTTAGGGGTACTTAGAACTCATTTTTAATTTTTGGCTATTACAATCCCTGAGAAACAGCTAAAATAACAATTTTTGCTAGGGTTCTAAGTTCAGTATAGTAATTAGGATCTTTAGAGCAAGCATAACTCGACAGCCGTCCGGACATGTACAAAGCCTGTTATATGTGTTTTTGGTTTTGAGTGTTGCAGTTGGGCGCCGTCGGGTCTAACATGTGTCAACTTTTGAGTCCTAAACCCTAAACCCTAAACCCTAACTCGGACCTGTTCCCCTAATAACCGGTTAAGGCTCGATCCCCAAACCCTCCACACTTGCATCTCAAGAAACCACGAGAAGTGTGAGTCCGTGGTTCTTGTCTAGGACTGGGCCTCAGTACTGTTGAAGTGCCCCTAAACCCTAAACCCTGTGTTTTCGGCCCAAGAGCTGTAACTTGCAGGCCACGGCAGGCAGTGTAAGTAGGGGGTTTAGGGCTTTAGGGTTTAGGGCATAGGGTTTAGGGTCTAGGGTTTAGGGTTTCTAAGTTCAGTTTGACGATATGCAGGGCTTCATGGGCCTAGTGCAGGATGCCCGTGACAGACATCACTGAGACCGGTATGCAGGGCTACTGATGCACAAAGTACCTTGGATCTCAAGTCGTTGCCATATCGCACCGCATTTCGTTCACAGGCCCTATGCAACATCGGATACAGTAGAAGCCCAATAGTTGAAAACCTAACAGCCCCAATCCTTAAGAGTAGTGTATAGGGAATCCCAGCTCTATGTGACCTGTATCAGGTTTCCAACTTTATGGGGTTTACTGTAGGTAGGTAGTATTATTAGGGAGACCCCTTAAAGGGTACCCCTTCTGAACCCTGCTTCTGGCTCTCTTAAAAGGGGCTGTCTGAAAGGTGCTCCAGTCCCTTAGGCTGTCTATCTTAGAAGGGGCCCCCACCCTGTAATAGTGGTATAATAGGAATATAATAGAGCCCTTATATAATCCTTATAGTCACTATTGCAGGGTGGGGGCAGCTTCTAAGGTATATCTCATACCCTCCGTACAAACTTCCGCAAACTCCAAGACCGCAGGCCCTGGACCCCAAACTGGACACGGAGACCGTAAAGGATCCGAAAGATAGAGATTTGTTCAAGGGGCTGTCTTAAGCATACAGCATTCATGGTGGGATATGTGGTTTGTGTTTCCTTGTTTCCGGTTAAGAATTATCAAAGAGCCCCCGAAAGTACTATCCTGAACGCAAATACCGAATTATCAGGTCCCTTGGGTTGGTGTCGTGCTTTAAGGCCACAAACCCTAAATCCTAAACAATTTAAGGCAAAACCCCAAATCCTAACCCGAACAAAAGCTATACTTCAGCCGTAAACCCGAAACTCTAAAGTTTAACTTCTCAATCAGACCGTTGTAGATCCGTTATCGTAAGATCTCTTAAAGGCGCCTTCTTAGACCATGCTCCATTGCCTGGCAGGTCCCTGAGGACCGCAGGGAACCGACGCTGGACTCGCCTGCGCACCGTGCTGCAAGGCGGCCGAGTTCGATTTGGGCCTAGGGTTTAAGATGTAGAGGGCTTAGGGATCTAGTGTTTTGGGGTCTAATGGTTTTGGATTCTGAGGGCCTATATTGGGGGTCTAGGATTTAGGGTTTTAAGGGTTTTAGATCTAGAGGGCTTAGGGGGTTTAGGATTTAGGGTTTCGGGGTCTAAGGGTATTTGTTGTTGTTGGTTTATTGTTTATGCTGTGAGGATCCAGAGGGCTTAGGGGTTTAGGATTTAGGGTTTCGGGGTCTAAGGCCTAAGGGTTTTTGTTGTTGTTTGTTTATTGTTTATGCTGTGAGGTTTAGGCCTAGGGTTTTAGATTTAGAGGGCTTAGGGGTTTAGGATTTAGGGTTTCGGGGTCTAAGGGTTTTTGTTGTTGTTGTTGGTGTTGTTGTTGTTGTTGTTGTTGTTGTTGTTGTTGTTGTTGTTGTTGTTGTTGTTGTTGTTGTTGTTGGTTTATTGTTTAGGCTGTGAGGGTGTAGGGTTTTGTGATATGGGTTTTCAGGGTTGTGGTGTGAGGCTTTAAGCTTTGGGCTTGGGTGTTTGCGTTTCGCTGAAATTTTATCTCCGCTTAAACCCAGTATGTACATAGTGATTGGGACTCATAACCAGAAAATGTAGCAGTCACAAACAAAGATCCACGCTTTTATCCGGGCTGCGAGGCTGTGGGGCGTTACAAAAACAGTAGAGTGAGTTGGCATGAGTCATGGGCTTAGCGCTGGTTGTTTGGGCTGTTAGTCCGGCCATGTTGTGCCTTTGACCGGATACCTCTGTCCGTGATCAAACACGACAGAACACTAGCCGCATTGCAGCCCGGCGAAACAATTTCTGCAACTTGAATTTTAAACCCGGGTTCTCTACACCAGAGGATCCCACCCCCCCCTTCCACCCCACAGAAACAAACCCGTAACCCCACTCCCTGACAGCCCAAACCCTAAACCCTAAACCCTAAACCCTGGTGACCTTCAGCTGCGAGGATCCAGGAGGAACATGCCCGGTCTCTTCTTACGCAGAAAGCCAAGGCAGGCACCGAAGAAGCACTTTGGTTAACCCAAAGGGTCCTATGTTCCTGTATGGTAGAATGTAGGGATTCTATATTAGGAATTACTATCATGATCCAGGGAAGTATCCCCCATGACAGTACATAGGACCCTTTGGTTAAAGGGCTTTAGAAGAGGGCTGTGGGGATGACAGGGTGCTTTTGGGCTCTCAGGTTTCCTTGCAGGGTTGACGTACTTGTAGGCCGTCAGGGCTTTCGCGCTGGAAGTTCTACTGTTGGAAGAGTTTGGGGTTCTTAAGTTCAGGGCGTATTAGAGGGTACCGGGTTGAGGCATGCGATGGTCTTGAGCATTTCTTGATCCCGACAGGATAGTGCTTGCGCTGCGTGGCACTTCGAAAACCTTGACCTTGCTTTCCATTCTCCTGTAGATGGATGCTGGACAGCCCCCGACAGTTCCTTCTTCTTATGAGCAAACCACAAATACAGACTTGTCGCAGCCTCAACCACTAAACCCTAACGTAACGGCGCCCACTTTGTAGGGTCGTTGCAGGTTGCGGTTCAGATGGTTTTCGTTTGCTTTCCGGAGCGAGGAGAGCATTTGCAAACACGGGTCACATTTGAGATTCAGGGCTTTTGGGTTCACGTCTACGTTGGTTGCTGTTTGTCAAGACTATCTTAAACCCAAACCCCTTAATCCCAAAGCCCAGATCTAAGAAAACGACGCTGACGCCCTCACTTCAGGACATTTCAACAGCCAGAGTACTACCGACGAACAAGGCTAACATGTGATGTCATGCAGGTACCTGAAAGCCCCAAGACCTTTTACAACCCTACACCCCCAGACCTTCCAAAATCCCTTAATTAAGGAATATACCTTAAATTATAGTAGGGTCCCTAATATGGTTTAAGGTATATTCCTTAATTAAGGGGTTTTGGAAGGTCTGGGCCCATGATCCCCAAATGGGTAGTTGTCCAACTTAAGGTCCCTTGTTGGGTACTCGAAATATTAGGTGCCGTACTATATGCAGGGCCCAAAAAGGGACCCTAATTTTGGCAACCAAATGCACGCACCATGTCCAAGTACCCAATAATCATATACTCTCCAAAATCATAACCCACATAACTATTATCCTAAAACCGAATACCTAATTATTTTGTCCGTTGAAAACCCTAAACCCTAAACCCAACCTAAATATTGGGTCATTTGGACCCTTGGGGTAACAGCTAAAAATGGCAAGGCGCTTCTGAAGGAGCTGGGCGATTTCCTGCTGCCACTGGCTCCTCGGCTTACTTCCGGCAGGGTTTTGTGGTTTAGGGGTTTAGGTTGTAGGGTTTAGGGGTTTAGGGGTTTAGGGTTTAGGGGTTTAGGGTTCAGGTTGCCTGGCTTTTGAATCTGCCAAACGCCTTGAAGCTCCACGAAAATCTTCGACACTTCAGGGTTTCGAGGCTATCGTTGCGGTCTCGGGATCCGAGAGCTAGCTTTTCAGGTCGTTCAGAGGGGTCCTAAAGAACTGCCTACGCCGAACCCTGAGCCCAAAACCCTAAACCCTTAACACCAACCTAAACCTTAAACACCAGGCCCTAAAACGTACCGAAGACTCCAAGCCCATGCATCCTTGCAAGCTGGTTGAGGGATGAGGGTGCTGGGTAAGGATGCGGACCCTTTAAAGGGGACCCGGTTATAGAACCGTATAGCACCCTCTATAGACAGAAAGCTTCAAAGGATCCCGCAAAGGACCCCTTTAGAAGGACCCCTATACACCCCTTTAAAGGGGAACCCATGGGGACCCTGTTTTTAGGAAGATTTAGGGTTTAGGGTAACCCTACACCATAAACTCTAAACCAAGAGCTTCAGAGGCCTTAAAGGACCCTTTAAAGGAACCCTACACACCCCTTTGAAAGCGGAGACCGCCTCTTAGTAGGAAGAGCCTCAGGGGCCTTTTCTGAAGCCTCCGCTGCTTTCCAGGACCTTCGCTTCGGCCTGCCGACTCCCAGCCTGAGTCTGCCTCCCTCGCACGGCTTTGGGTTCATTTGGGGGTTTCCGAAACTAGGGGCCCCTAATATAGTACCCTAAATAGTAGGATCCTTATTATAAGGACCCCAAAATTAGGTACCCCTGTTTTCGGAAACTACCATTTAGGGGGCCGAGGGCCTCAGGGGCTTAGATTAGAGGGGCTTAGGGTTCAGGGTGTGGGGGTTACATGGGATTACGGTTTTGGGGGTTTGGGATTTTGGGTTTAGGGTCTTGGGTTTAGTGTTTGGGTGTTTGGCGTTCAGCTTTGATGTTTGAGGCTTGTTACATGATATGGGTTACTATTAGGGACTAAGGGCTGCAGTGAGGATACTACATGCGCTTGGGCAAGATAACCATAAGGGTGTCTATTAGGTGGAGGGCCGTTGGTTTGGGGGCTTTGGGGTTTACGGCGTTTAGGTCGGTCGGGCTTTTTGGCCTTTAGGGTTTACCTGGACCCTACAGAACCTACCCCTGTTCAGGGTTCAGGCAAGGAATCATCATAAGGAAGCGTAGTAGAATGCTAGGTGGTTTTGGGATTCTTAAGTTATGGCCTCGGCATTTACGATTAAGTGGGTGGGCTTGAGGGATTCGTGTCTTGGGTGTGGGGCCCAGGCGTGCCATGCAGGGGTTGAACGGTATCCATTGCCATAGTGTTTTGTCTTTGTGGACTTAAGCAGCTTGTCCGTAGCCCACGGAAGCCCCAAGCCCCCATGAGCCCTAAGCCCCAAACCCCTAACCCTATAAACCCTAAGCCCTATAAACCCAATGCGGGCGAAAGACACGTCACTGCACTTTAACAACCCAATGCCTTGCCTCGAAAGAACCCAAGCACGTAGTTGACAAAATTGTGGTCCCTTTTTGGGTAGCCTCAATATTATGAGGTGCCATACTGTAATAAGGACCCCAAAAAGGGACCCTAATTTTGCCAACCACCCAAAACGGAAGATCGGCGCCAGGCAAGTGAGTCCCCGACCGGATTGGGGCTGTATGCAGGAGGCCCCTACAGGGTTTAGGGTTTAGGGTTTCAAAGGACCCAATAATTAGGTAGGGTTTCAAAGGACTCAATACTTCGGTATTCGGTTTTAGGAGAGCTCTTCTGGGCTTGCTTTGGCCGCTATTTCCCCACGGGTCAACAGAAGGACCCAATAATTAGGTACTCGGTTTTAGGATAGTGGTTATGTAGGTTAGGGTTTTGGAGAGTATATGATTATTAGGTACTTGGACCCTTGGGGTTGGTACCAATGCCTCATAGAGTCATAGAGTATCTGTTCAACTTGTTGTTGGTTTTAAGTCTGTGTGCAGGGTTGCTGTTAAAGTTGCAGAGGGGTTATTTCGGATTTTGGGGATATGAAGGGTCATGTGACCTCCGTAAGTATGCGAAAAGGAAGGTCACCCAAAATTCGGGCTCTTCACCGTCCTTGCCAAACCTCCCGGATGTATCGTACTAACCCGAGATGTACCAAGCCAGCAACATGGCGGGTGGATCGTTGCGTTTGCAGATGGGATCATGCCGAGGTCACGGAGGACGCACAAGTTTTGTTTTTTTTTCGTGGACTGGCAATCGTAGTATTAAACTGCCCGAACACAGAGTTAGTACACTACTTAAATGTTCCGGACGGAGGACTTTGCTGGCGGCCTCTAAGGAGGAAAGAGGTTTTGCTAGCTGCTCAAGACCACCATATATGGGACTTTCCGAAAATAGGGGGCCCTAATATAGTACTCTAACTAGTAGATCCTTATTATAAGGACCCCCAAATATGGTACCCCTATTCTCCGGAAACTCTCATATGCGAGAGTACGACAAGCTTTCGTCCTACAGCAGCAGCCTCCTCTTTGCCAAAACACCTGGGGATTCTGCTCTTGGACGCAGGACATAAGTCCGGAGCATTTAGGTGTTTTCGGGCTAGCCAGGTACTAGCTATACTGTACTCCAGGGTACTGCCAGAAACGAAACTACAAAGCGTGAACCCCCAAACCCAGAGTTGAGCCTTTCACGCCTCGCCCGGCACTTTGCGTGAGGAGTGCGGCAGTCAGTTTCGCACAACAGAGTATGACCGAGAAGCGTATGCATACGTACCAGTTCTGTGCTCTCCTACTCCGAACCCTGCCTAGAAAATCTTGCCATCGACGAAGGTGCTGGTGCTTACCCGTGGATGCCAGCAGTGGATTGTGCAATCAATGGAGATGCTTGTCAAGCGCTTTATCACAAACCCTAAACCCATAAGGCCACCATGCCGTATTTTCTTGACATGGATCGCCCGCAGCGTCATGCCGTTTTTTAGACTGAAGCCGACTGAAGCCTGAAAGCAGTTAGTGCGGGAGTAACAAGCTCGGCGAGCAACTCGTTCCAACGACATCGAGAAGCCTGGGGCAGGTATGCAGCGCCAGATTCCCAAACGTCCCTACTCCACCCTTCACCATCGCTTTTGTGACATTCTGCCCCAGCTCTAAATTCGCGAGATTGAGAGCCAAGTATATGGTGTGATGAAGCATCGCTTGAGGGTTTATGGTCTACCAAGTTTACGCATTCCGTAACCTCTTATGCCTTATGTAAACAGCGACACCCTACGTACTCTAGCCTTAAACCCCAAGAAAGCGCATCCCTGAGACCCTTACAAGCCGCTGTTACGAGGATCCACCACCACCTGGGACTTACCGGCGAGTTCACAGCCGCCAGACTTGTCTTAGTTCTCGGAGCCTAGATGCTGCAGTTACACAATAGCAAGGTCTAGATGACAAGAGCAAGAGCAGTAGCACAAGCAAAGTACTCATAGACATACTCATAACACACACACACAAACGGAACTCAAATAACAATAGCAATGGTAGCTATAGAAACGATAGCATTGATGATTCCAGGATGATAGTAGTACCCTAGTACTAATGATATCAGACAGATAAAAGCTGGACCACACAGGTACATGTGTGTGTATATATATATATATGTAACAGACAGAACAAAGCTTGAGATAAACATGCAGATGTATGTGTATATGTATACGCATTATGCGAATGCATTGTTTTGATGTTTAGGTTAATGAGGTAGCCTTTGCATAGTAGGGTGTGTATATGTATATGTATATATACATATATGTATATCATGTGCTGAGAGTTTTTTTGGTAGACCCTGGACATGTGCCGAATCGGGACAAACAACTTAATTATTGTCAAGGCTTCTGCGAGGTTCCGCTGGCTTGCGGAGATCGAATTTCAATTGGGTTGCAAGCGGGACATACCCCAAATACCCGCTATTAAGGGCCATAAGGAGAGTATTGAAAGGCCCTTCTTGAAGGGTCATGGGACTTAGTAACTAGGGTTATAATCAGGGTAACTATACGTATAATTACTTAGAACTGGCAATCAGCTCTACGAAGCAAACTATCCGAAAATGATACTGCTGCTTTCCTCACTACAACGAAATACCAGAACCCTAAACCCTAATCCCCTAAACTCGAAACCCTAAACCCCTAAACCCTAAACTCGAAGCCAAAAAGCCCCTAAACCCTAAACCACAACAACACAAACTGATGAACTGAGAGTCGCCAGCACATCGCTCAACCCATCCTCGTAGGCTGATGCCCCAACAAGAACCCCCCAGTGACGGCACATCCTTTGCGTGTCTCTCGCGACTCTTACTGGGCAGGCCACGGAAAAAATCTGCTTGTCATCAACAAACTCTGCTATCTACGAGCCCAAATGCGTGAATCCGCAGGACATAAAAAAGCCTGTGACCTGAGTTGGCAAACCAACCCTGGAATCCCCGGACTCTAAACTGACCTTTGGTTAGTAGGGAATGGAAGAATCGTAGTAATAGTAACTACATTCCTTCAGATCCCTACTAACCAAAGGGTAACTACTATTTGCTTAAGAAACCAGCAAAAATAAAAATAATAATCCCTATATTACCCCCATAAGGAATATTTTTTTTTATTTTTTGGGGGTTCTTAAGCAAATAGTAGGTAAACTGCATGTTCAAGCATGATCCCAAGTTCTAATTATCAGCTCTGAGCTCTGAGTCGCTCAATGCTATCAATCCTAAACCCGACAAAGTGCTGAAGTGAGAGGCCTTGTCACCCTCTCTCCGGTTCTCTCAGTTTCCGTTGTGTAATGTACAAGTGTATATATATATATATATATATAGGTATATAAGGAGATAGATACTATACATATCTACTTACGCACACGTGTACTGCACCAGCAGATGAAACAAAGTGCTCGTAAGCACTCAGGTGAAGCTCCGGCGTCAGACGGAATCCTTGGGTTTCGCCCCTCGCCATTCAGTCCTGCGCCCTATCTGCGTTTAGGGCCTTTCGGAGCAGCTGGATGCACTTAGGGTTGACGATGAGTGAACTTGACATATTCTATGATATCATATGGTGATATATGATATGATACTAAATTTATGGTATTGTGGTATATGGGTCGGGGCCGCTTTAGGGCTTTATGGAAGCCTAACCCCAATTCTCAAAACGTTTATAGGGACCCTGAACCCAGAACCGGAAGGTTTGCGATTTGGCTCCTTAAAGCCCACAGCAGCTGAATTAGTTTCATTGTGCCCTGCTGATACGGGAGGGAGGTTTCCGTGTGATTAAAACTGAGTATTCGCAGGAGTGTAGTCTTGTCAGTAAGGGGTCACTGGGAAGCTCCAGTTGCGGTCTCGCGTATTCTGAACTTCGCCATGGTCCAACCTGAAGGCTTGGGCTGCAAGGAGCGGCCCATCAACATAGGGAGAGTTCTTCTCGTGCCTTGTCAGGTCCCCATAATACGACGGCACTCTTATACAAAAGGACCCTCAAGAACTACTCACAGAGCCCTAAACCCAAAACCCTGAACCCTAAACCCTGAACCCTAAACCCTAAACCCTTGATTGCTCGGTTATGGCGGCCCGCAAGCTGTATGATGACGGTTCAGATCCGTAGTTTTCGAGCTGCGGCTGCGAGACGCATCTCCAGAGACCCCCAAACCTCTAAATCAGCAAATGTACCTTAGTCTTTGGGTGGGGTTTTTTGCTCCTGCTACACTTTCATGTTTGGAACAGTGCGTTGTTTGGTTTACTTCTCAGTGCCTATTGGAGGGAATTGCGGCTTTGTGGATGGACAGCATCAGCTTTTCAGTGCACAGCTTCGAGGCTGTCTGATGACTGGCGTGAGGTTCCCTCTGGGCCCTCCAGGAGAATCGCACAGTGTTAGTGGCACACAGCCTCCCTGCGGCGGGTGGCGTCCCACTTCGCCGCACATCCTGCCAGTTCTGAACTAGTGAACGGGTTCAGATTGTGAGACGTGATTGGGTGTGCGGTGCCATTCCCCTTGAACAGACAGCGATGGTGCTGCAGCTGATACAATCAAGGCTTCATCCGCGGCAGAGTCAGGAGAGACAGTTTCAGGAGGGGCATTTCTCTGCGAAAATGACGATTGGGCATGCTTTGACGACATAGGTTGGGGAAGTTATGACGTAAACCCCCCAAAAGTAGGTGAAATAATAGCCCAAAACCTATAAAAGGCCATTATTCTACATTTTGGGGTCCAGGGATTGGTGAGCCACAATGTGGGGTTGGATTTTGTCAGAGCTCATCAGCCTACAGGTTCTCCGAATATCTATGAAGGGCCTTTTGCCTTCAAAAATGGGTTCTGAGGACCCTCAAAGTCTAGGCTAGCATGATAGCAGCCTTGGAGGATTTTCGTTTGGGAGTATACCTAGACCCTCCATCTACCCTCTATTGGACCCTAAATGCCCCTTATTTGGGACCATATACCCCTATTTGAGGGTACAAGGAGGGTCCTGGTAGGATGATTATCAGGTACTTGGACTCGCAGAAGGGCTAAGGAATCGATGGCAAAGCCTTCAGACTTCGGGCTGGAGCCCATAAGCCCAAAACGTGTTCTAGAGAGCAGTATCCGAAGGCAGCTGATGAGCTCCGCTTTGGCACCCTTGGCCGACGAGAAGCTCGGCTACAGCGTTTAGGGTTTAGGGGTTTAGAGTTTAGGGTTTAGGGGTTTAGGGTTTAGGGGTTTAAGGTTTAGGGGTTTAGGGTTTAGGGTTGTTGGGCATGTACTGAAATCCCTGAATCCTGGGCCTTAAGCCATGAACCAAACGGGACGACGCCAAAGCGCGCCGACTCGCACGCATGGCCCTAACAGGAACAGCCATGAACATGCAAAGCGTAAACTGTCCGCCCTGCATTCTGAGTTCTTAAGTATTCGGAGCCGTGAAGCATACTTCACACACCATGTATGTACGGTTCAGGGTTTAGGATACGACTTTCCGGAGCCTGGTTCTCATTTTACCGTGCACCGTCCAGTCCTCAGTGCCTTGTTGTGCTGGGTTGCGTAGCTTGCTGGTTGAAGGATCCTAGCCAGAAACATGTCGGACAAGCGAACTGTAGGGGCCTCAATAAATAGAAAAGGGTTTTTGGATACGTTATATATGTATATATAGTACACATATATATATATATATGTATGTATGTGTATACATATATATATATATACATATAATATACATATATACATATATACATATATATATATATATATATATAATACATATATATGTATATATAAATAAACAAATAAATAGACAAATCAATATATATATATATATATATATATAGATATATAGATATATATATATATATATGTATATATATATATATGTATGCTGTGGGGCCCCAAAGTACGGTTGATGTTATAAATCCTGCAATACCCATAAGAAGGATTACACCACAATTCCCACAATGTAGGGTCCTTAAGGTAATGCAGGATTTATATCATCAACCGTAGTACTGCTAATTGTTTAGGCTCCTTTTCGGTCCTACATGGGAGTGGGAGGGTGTAGGTACTTCGCCATAAACCCGCACACCTCTCAGTCTCAGTGTCTATATACAAACCCGACATTGGATTTTCAGACACACAAACCACCTGAAAATGTGCTTGCTGTGTCTCTGGACACCCAGCCCCAAACGCTCAACCTGAAACATACCACAGGTTTCAAGCCCAGCGCTTTCCGAAACCCCAATTTAGTAGCTGAGTAGGTAACCTTTGACGTCCTAGGGTTTATATAAACCTACCATGATTGACAAGATGAGGGTACTCTAATCCCTAAACTCCTGAACCCCTACACCCCTAAGGCCCTAAACACCAAACCCCGAAATCCTAAGCGGGTCCTCAGTCCCTAAGCCAAAGAAGCCATGACTGGAGGTCTGACTCGGAAGATGATCCCTTCGAGGCCGCTGCGGCTTTGCACATGTCTGTAATCTCCATTGTAGATCAGTTTTTTGGTTTAACCAATTATTCATTAAGGACTGCAGGACTCTTTCTGTTAACCCCCAAAAGAAACTACAATGGAGACTATAGTTAAGAAAGTAAATCCTTTAACTTCTGGGATAGGTCAAAAAGATAAATAAAACCAAAATAAAGGCAAACAAAAACCAAACACGTACATCTAGCCAGTAACCACAACAACGAACAAAAAATCAAAACAAAAAACAAAGCAAAAAACAAACAAAAAGCAACAACATCATAGAGAGCAGGTGGGAGGCCTTGGGTGCTTCTTTTTTATTGTATTTTTTGTTGGTTTCCTAGGGACCTGTTCTTTTGCTTTGTTTTTGATTTTTTTCGTAGGAAAAAAGAAAAAAAGCAGAAAATGCAACAAACACAACAAAAAAAAGTCCCTAGGAAAAACAGCAAAAAAAAAAAAACATACAAAAAAAAAGGTTCCCAAGGGCTCTCACCTGCTCTCTATTATGTTGTTGCTTTTGTGTGTGTTTTTCTTTTGTTTTTTTTTGATATTTGTTGTGTTTCTTTATCTTTTTGCTGATTTCCTGAGGTTACAGTGTTTTGAATGTCTTAAGACTATAGGTGTGTGTAGGATGTATTCAGTGACACTTGAAATTAAAGTTCAATTTTGAGGGGTTCGAGTTTAGGACTTGGGGTTGAGGGCTGAGGGTTTTGGGGGTTGAGGGTTTAGGACTCGGAGTTGAGTCGACTTAATTTGTAGCTCTTTCGAGAAAGGATGTGGCTGGTGCTTTATCGAGAGGATTCATTTGGGGATGGCTTGTGCACGAAGGTTTAGGCTAGGCTTAGAGCGGCACTTGCGCTTTGTCTGCAAACTGCTGGTTAGGATACCGTTGGCTCGTTGGATTTGAAAGGCAAAATTCAGCTGTTTCGGGTGCTTAGTTGACGTTGTTTTCCGATAGTGCATAAGTACTGTTACTTGAAAGCGTGCTTCTTCGCAGCGTGACAGAGCATGCTCCGTGCGGGACAGATCCAAAACGGTGTGCTGCTTCATTCAGAACTGTCAGCTACTGCAACGGGTCGGAACAAGAAAGACAATCGTTCCGGAGCTAAGAAACGGAAGTTCAAACGGCTCCGTGAAGCTGTAAGACTGTTGGACTCTTCTTCGAGCTTTTCAAGCTCTTCGAGCTCGCCGTGGCAGCTGCACATGCCAAAGCGAAGGCCAAGGCGAAGGCATGAGCGCAGGTGCCCAAGCACCTAGCAGCAGCAGCTCCAGCCTGAAGAGCGAGACCTCCTAAGACCAGGGAGGGGGCTCCTGGGAAGACTACCGACCCAAAGTGTCCAAAGTACCTACATGGGAGTTTCCGAAAATTAGGGCATACCATGGATACCCTATTTCGGGGTCCTTATCACAAGGATCCTACTATTTAGGTTACTATCTTAGGGTCCCCCCATTTTCGGACATTCCCATATTAGGAATTGATTCTATGATGTGGGGAAGTATATTCCCCATAACAGTACCTAGGCCCCTTCTCCGGTTGGTTCTCCGCAACTGCTGCAAGCGGTTCGGACTAGGTGTTCTATGATTGCTTCCCGTCGATGCCAGGGGGGAGGGTTTAGCACAGGGCTCAGCGAGCATGATTGTCGGTTGTGCTTTTCGCTTGGGGGGCTGTCCCCTTTTCTAAGCAAGTCTGACTGAGGGATACCTCGTTCATACTACTTATGTACGGGCATGCACAGGAGCACAGATGCACAGATTTCTAAAACGCTGCACCCCATGCCGAACACCATCGCGCATGCACGCATGGGATGTTCCAACATGTGTCGTGTAGTGTGACCCCTGATATTATAGCCTGAAGAATTACCGATAAAGTTTCTTAGGTTAGGATTCCTCATCATACCTAGACGTATGCTAGAACATATTCCAATAAAAACCCAGTCTAACTACAGCAGCCCTTTACAGAACGCTTAGAGGAAATGTTAGGGGAACGGTATTATACTTGTCAAGTGCTCTATATTGCCCTAAGAGTCGAGGCACCCAACTGGCTTTTTTTCACGGTCCAAAAACCACTCAGAGTGTGGTTTTGCACCTAGAACCTACCCGAACCTACCCAAACCACTCCTAAACCCTAAACCCCGACACCCTAAACCCTAAGCCCTGAACCCATAAACCCTCAACCCCGAAAGCCTTAACCCCGAAAACCTCACTGTTCGGATATTCAGACCCTCTGGGGCACGCCATGCTCGGAGGACGAGGATGCGGAGCCCTCGCTCGGAAAGCGAACAGGCCACTGCATCAGCCTATCTTTTTGTAGGTCCTCATCACAAACTCTAATATGGCCTTTATAGGGACCCCACACAAAAGTCGTTTTTGGTAGCCAAAGATATCGTTTCGAATACCTTTAGTCTCCATTCTCCATTGTAGTTCCTCCCCAAATTTATATTGAGGATCTAAATGGTAACCAAAATAAGGAACTACAAAGGAGACTATGGGTTGTTCCAGGGTTGCAGGGGTTCAAAGAGGTTAAACCCCAAAGGATTTAGGATGTGGTAAAGAGGTTTCGGTGTAGGGGATTTGGGTCAGGGCTAGAGGCTGGCGGGTAGTTGTGACACGGGTTACGCTCAATAGTACTTGTATGGTGATCGAATGTCTAAGCCCTTGTCATCTCGATTGTCCATGCAAACTAGCCCCATGGCCCCCAAACAGCAGGGTCACCAAGCTCAGGTTTGCTTTGCTTGGGGAGTTTCTCCTGTCACTGCTCTCTAGACCAGACGCCGAACAAGTCAGAAGATCACCGAAAGCCCTCATATCCCCAAGAAATAAGATTCCGAAGCCCAAACCCTAGAACCCTCTTAACCAATCGTGAAGGGTCGCTGAATCCCAAAGACACCACCAGAGGTACCAAAAGAGACCCCCGTAGCCCTAAATCAATCCTAAATCTTATAGTACATGCATACACATGTATTCATACTGATTCACATACATGTACATATATATATATATATATATAGAGAGAGAGAGAGAGAGAGAGAGCGCGTGAGACTTGCAAATCAACAACACATCAACACACATCCACCCATGCATCCGTCGCCGCATCCATCCCTTCCTCCCTCCGCCCGTCCATCCATCCATCCAGCCAGCCCCAAATCGAGACATGCCCCGGCACGTGCATATGTGCATGCCTTCATACACGCATACGTGCATATCATATATAGATACATGTATTTATTCATTCGTTCATTCATTCACACATGAAATTTGTCCTTCCTTTGTATTGATATTCATATCAAAGTATACTTATATGTATGCTTGTATGTTGTGAAGTTTATACATACACATACACAAAATTCTACATAGATAAAATATGCATATACGGGCGTGCGCTTACATCTACATACGCCGCTTGCACAGATCTAGAACCAGGCTCACTTACGTGCATATACACTCAGCGTAAAACCTCATCAATGCGCTTCTCTAGATTAGGGCCTATTTCAGTGTACTTTTTTCTAAGCGTGCCGTACCTTTTGGAGATCTGGGACCGGATCCTACCTGGGTCTAGGTAACTTAGAGAACTACCTAAGTCTCCATCGCAGTTCCTTTTGGGTCTGACCAATTATTTATTAAGGACCCTTTAAGGTAGCCACCAAACGGAACTAGAATGGAGACTGTAGGTATCCAAGAGCACCTAAATGGAGTTACCCAAATTATACGCCTACTTTTAACCGACTGGGCCTCCAAGAAGAGCACCCCGAGAGACTAGTTCTCCAAATTAGGGTCTATTGCAGGGCATTCTTGTTAAAGGGTGCCGTACCTTTCGGAGATCAGAAAACTGCCAACGACGGTTGATGATATAAATCCTGCATGACCCATAATAAGGAATGTACCATAAATCCCATAGTTTAGGGGCCTAAAGGTGATGCAGGATTTAAATCGTCAACCCTAAACCCTATAGATCCCTTAAAGGAAGCCCTTAAAGGTACCCCTATAGATCCCTTTATATCATCAACAGGAGCAGCCTCAGAGCCTCAGCGACCGAAGGCAAAGGGTCCAACTCCGAGGGCCACTTCGCCTCGCGAAGCGCCTGGCGAACGAAGAGCGGAGGCCTCCGGAGTTTAGGGTTTTGGGGTTTAGGGTTTTGGGGTTTAGGGGTTTAAAGTTTAGGGGTTTAAAGTTTAGGGTTTTTGAGGTTCATATGTAAAACTAGGATGCCCAGTAGTACCCTTATTCCCTTTTTGTAGTCCTAGGTTCCTTATAAAGTTACCCAATACCAAAAAGAGAGGCCTCTTTATTCTTAGGTTACTGGGTATCCTAGAAAATCTCACAATGTAATCCCAAAAGAGGAACCACTATAGGGCCTATGGGTAGTCTTTTCTATTTTTAGTATCAGCTTTGATGAGTGGAGGCCTCCGGAGTTTGGGGTTTTGGGTTTTGGGGTTGTGGGGTTTAGGGTTTTGGGGTTTAGGGTTCAGGGTTGTGGGGTTTAGGGTTTTGGGGTTTTGGGGTTTAGGGTTTTGGGGTTGAGGGTTAAGGGGGTTTAAGGTTTAGGGTTTAGGGTTTTGGGGTTTAGGGTTTAGGGGTTTGGGGGTTTACGGGTTTAGGGTTTAGGGTTTTAGGGGTTTAGGGTTTTGGGGCTTAGGGTTTTGGGGTTTAGGGTTTAGGGGGTTTAAGGTTTAGGGTTTAGGGGTTTAGGGTTTTGGGGTTTAGGGGTTGTGGGGTTTAGGGTTTTGGGGTTTAGGGTTTAGGGTTGTGGGGTTTAGGGTTTTGGGGTTTAGGGTTTTGGGGTTTAGGGTTTAGGGGGTTTAAGGTTTAGGGTTTAGGGGTTTAGGGTTTTGGGGTTTAGGGGGTTTGGGGTTTAGGGTTTTGGGGTTTAGGGTTTAGGGTTGTGGGGTTTAGGGTTTTGGGGTTTAGGGTTTTGGGGTTTAGGGTTTAGGGGGTTTAAGGTTTAGGGTTTAGGGGTTTAGGGTTTTGGGGTTTAGGGGGTTTGGGGTTTAGGGTTTTGGGGTTTAGGGTTTAGGGTTGTGGGGTTTAGGGTTTTGGGGTTTAGGGTTTTGGGGTTTAGGGTTTAGGGGGTTTAAGGTTTAGGGTTTAGGGGTTTAGGGTTTTGGGGTTTAGGGGGTTTGGGGTTTAGGGTTTTGGGGTTTAGGGTTTTGGGGCTTAGGGTTTTGGGGTTTAGGGTTTTGGGGTTGTGGGGTTTAGGGGTTTAGGGGTTTTGGGGTTTAGGGTTGTGGGGTTTAGGGTTTTGGGGTTTAGGGTTTTGGGGTTTAGGGTTTAGGGGTTTAGGGTTTTGGGGTTGTGGGGTTTAGGGTTTTGGGGGTTTGGGGTTTAGGGGTTTGGGGGTTTAGGGGTTTAGGGTTTTGGGGTTTAGGGTTTAGGGGTGTGGGGGTTTACGGGTTTAGGGTTTAGGGGTTTAGGGGTTTAGGGGTTTGGGTTTTGGGGTTGTGGGGTTTAGGGTTTTGGGGTTTAGGGTTTAGGGGTTTGGGGGTTTCGGGGTTTAGGGTTTAGGGTTTTGGGGTTTAGGGTTTAGGGTTTTGGGCTTAGTGTTTAGGTTTAGTCTGTATGATTTTAGTAACAGCTTTAATGTAGGAACCTGACTAGTAAAGGGATCTGTAAGGGTTCTCTTAAAGGGATCTACAAAAGGTTTAGGGTATAGGAACAATTTTCAGGAAGAGGCGAGGAGCTTCACGACTTCCTGGCCCGGTGGTATGAAGGAAAGTCCAGGTGATTGTTTCTTCTCGACTGTTTTGTGGCGATCACAACCCATTTCGCCGTGCAGCTGCATGCGCAGAAGCGCGAATGACTCTTTGTCCCAAAAGAAGAAGCCAGGCTTCGGATGGCTTGAGATGGGCGCCAGCTACACTGAGAGAAGCTGCGACATATATGCTTGCTACATTGTGGCCATGGCAGCCCACCTAGACGCAGGCGGGCAGGCTCTCAAGAGATTCCGAGGGTCAGCCGCCCCAAGGACATCCTGCGGAAGATGTATTTCTTTGGAGACCAGGTCTCTTGATTTGACGGGTTGTAGATTCCGGGTTTATGTAGGATCTAGGGCGTAACTTAGTGGCTGTAAAACAAACTTTTCAACTTTTGCCGGGAATGGGTTGTATGATGCCTAGGATAGCAATAAGAGAGGGTTGCTGGGGGGGTTAGAGAGGTAAACTTAGTGGCTGTAAAACAAACTTTTCAACTTTTGGTTGGAATGGGTTGTATGTTGCCTAGGATAGCAATGAGAGAGGGTTGTTTGGGGGGTAGAGAGCTAAAGAAGGGGATGGGAAAACAGTAGAGGTGATTCTTAAGGTTTTGGTTTTGGTTTTAATGGGGTTGTATGGTTTTGAAAAAAGCCGCATAGCTGTAGTGCTCGAGCGTAGTCTGACCCTCACAACAAGCCTTGAACTTTATCACTAAACCCTAATTTAGGGTCAAACCGATGGGAACCCCCCATGAGCCCGAACCTCGCACCTACCCCGCCGAATTATTATACGATTATTAGTCTAATACTAATAATACTGTTATCACTGCCGGGGCCGAAATCTTAGTGGTAAGAGACACTAGTTCAGTTGAAACCCTGACCAACCGGACTTAACCCCTAACCTCTCTTAATACTCCAGCAAGCCCTCTTATTAATTGCTATCCTGAAACCCATTCTACTAGTCTACCCCAAAGTTGAAAGGTTGGGTTCACGGCCACTTAGTCTAAGACAACCAATTCTAAACCCAAATGGAAATTACAGCAGCTCACTTGCGATATTATAGTAGTTTTAATAGTAACAGTGATCATAACCACAAATGGTAATGGGAACAGCAATGATAGCTAAGAGTGACAATAGTATTAATAGTATTAGACTAGTAATAGTACAGTAAGTGATAACCACAAATGGTAATAGGAAATCCTAGCACCAAAACCTCAAACCCCTACTAAACCCTTAAGCCCAAACCCTTAGACTCAAGCGAAAGTTGAAAGAACTCTGAACCCCGAAGCCCCGAAACCCCTAAGCCCCGAACCCAAACTTAAATTCCCAACCTCATAAGCCAGCCTTAAACACCAAAACCGTCAACCCATCCGTACCCACCCTTCTCCAACCCTAAACCCTAAAACACTAAACCCTAAAGCCCGCCGTCACTCTCGCCGACTTCCACTTCCTTCTTCTTCGCGCCGCAGCCTGAGGGGTTTAATTAAGTAATAGTTAGATAGTACCCTAAGCCCGGTTGACCCCCCCCAGATAAGCTGCCCTGCGAGTGCCCTGCATCGTCTGCACTGGGTTCCATTGCCGGTTCTTCGTGAGCCTGGCTTTGGTTCCCTGCTCGTTTGCACTGGGTTCCATTGCCGGTTCTTCGTGAGCCTGGCTTTGGTTCCCTGCTCGGTCTGGCGGAGGCGGTTCTTCGTGAGCCAGCCTCCAGCCGACCGAGCTAGGGCTTCGGAGCCGGTTCTTCGTGAGCCAGGCTCTGGAGTCCTTCGGTCTGGCTCGTTGCCGGTTCTTCGTGAGCCAGGCATCGATGCCGACCGAAAATTGAAAATTCAGCTGCCCTCGCCTGAGCTTTGGACTCTTGGTCAGGCTCGTTGCCGGTTCTCCGTGAGCCAGGCTTCGATGCCGACCAAGAGCTCCATTGCCGGTGAAGGGACTGAACTCAAGGCTCCCTGCCGCTTCTGCGTGACCCAGGCTTGGATGCCTATCCCTGCCGGTTCTGCGTGAGCCAGGCTTGGATGCCTATCCCTGCCGGTTCTGCGTGAGCCAGGCTTGGATGCCTAGGGTTTTTTGGATTCCCCCGAGCCTGAGGCCAAAACCCCTTTTCGGATTCGGGATTTGTATTCAATCCTTACTCCACCCCTACTTAAAATTTAAGCTGTTCAGGGTATTTGGGCTGGATTCGGTTTCGGGGCGGCTTTCAAGCCTTTGGGGTTTCTCAGGTGCTTGGGTAGTCTAATCCGTTTACTTTCGGAAGTTGTGGCTGAGGCCTGACCACATGTCGATCCGGCTTCATCGTCATCGCAGCCATCGCGGCTGGTGCCCCAGGCAACGACAATGCATTCAGCCATCATTTCGCTATCTCATGCGAGGCCTGACCTTAGATGATTGGAGGCTGAAATGCAGGGTGCTCGGCTACTGACTGAATTCTCAGAGTTTGATTCTCTTTTTTGTAGGCATTGAAGCAGTAGGCGCCATGAGTGATCTCAGGCCTGAGCCCAAAAGCAATGCAATCAACCTATCAAGATGGAGCCCTGGCTGAGGCTTGACCTGGATGTCGGTGCTGCGATGCCGACAACTCAGACTCAGCAGGTTTGCAGACCTTCGCGCATTCTTGGCACTTTTACTTTTACTCGTCCTGAGGCTTGAGACTGACTGTGGCGGCATGGCGTCACGGGAGCTCCATCTCCGAGGACTGCTCCCTGCCTGCCGTTCGCCTTTGTCGGAAGCACACATGCTTGAATGAATGTGCTCGCTGTGCGTGCTGCAACTTTTTTTGATCAGACATGTCGTGTCATTGGACTCATGCCATGTTGGCTGCCTTGGTGGCTGCCTGAAGCATTCACTCAGCACCGACATCACACCATGCCCGCCCGGACAGCACAGCACTTCATCACATGACATTGGACATATCACAGTCACAGAGCCCTATAATTAAAGGGCTTCCCAGCTCCTGAACCCCCGGCTCCTGCCTGAAATGGCGTCGTCATCATCCAGCTCTTCGAGCTCCTCCTCGTCGTCTGAGTCTCGTCCAAGGCTGGTTTCGGCTCTGCTTTGTATGGTCTAAGCTAAGTCTTGGCCTTGTGTGAGGGTGGAGCGAAAGAAGCGAAAGAAGCCAAATGCACGGAAACGTGCACAAAAGAGGCTGATTGCCGAGGCGGGACTTTCATAACTCGGTTGGCCGTTTTCATTTCTTTATGTCTGTGTCGAGGCTGACAAGGTCGCCGAGGATCTTCTGAAGCCGCCTGAGGCGGGATGTTCGCACTTCCATCTGTCTTTAGCCCTTAGCCCGGTCAGGTGCCCCCGCCCAAGCATTCGCACTTCCGTTTACCTTTAATTTTTAGCTCTTTGCCCGGCCAGGTGCCTGCACCCATCAAGAAGGCGGCCGAAGATTCCAGGAAGAGCGAGGCGGGACTTCGTTTCTTTTGTCATCCTTAGCTTAAATCCCTCTGCTAGGAAAAGAAGAAGACGAAGGCTGCGGCGAAGTCGGAGGGCTCCCAGCCTGAGGCGGGATTTTAGTATTTCGTGAGCAGCTGTCATTAGGACTTAGCTAATAGAAATTAACTCGGCCAGGTCCATCCGAAGAAGCTTCCGAAGGAGCACTCGAGGGCTGGACTTGCGTGAGCATTCATGTGGCCTTAGCCTTATTCTGAGAACCCGGGCAGGACGACAAGAAGAAGGCGTCTGAGAAGGCGGCGGAGAGCTCGTCTAAGAAGGCCTTCACCCTTGGAAAGTTTCAATCTCGTCTCCGTCAATCGCAGCCCGGCCAGGCCAAGAAGAGCAAGGATGAGGAGGCTCAGGGGAAGGCTGAAAAGGAGAAGAAGAAGAAAGTGGAAAAGGAGGCTTTAAGCTTTGCCGCTTAAAATAAAGAGCCACAATCTTTGGTCCTTAAACCCGAGCCCGGCCAGGTTGCGGAGGTGAAGCCTGACGTCAAGACAGAGGCCCGTTTTTCTTGCAGTAATCACGAAAGTCTTAAAGCCGAAGCCCCCGGAGGACAAGGCGAAGACCTCGGAGCCCTCCTCGAGCAGCAAGCCCATCGTGACTGAGGCACGTTTTTTGACACATTGGCTCGAGCATTGGTCCTGAAAATCATTATAACCTGCCTGCCCAGGCTGAGACTCAGTCTGAGGGAAAGGGAAAGGGCAAGGGAAAGGACAAGTCCCCTAGCAAGGGAAAGGGCAAAGGCAAGGCCAAAGGGTCGAAGAAGAAGAAGAAAGATAAAGGAAAGAAGAAGGATAAGAAGGAGAAAAAAAAGCAGAAGAAAGAGAAGAAGGATAAGAAGGAGAAGAAAGAGAAAAAGGAGAAGGAGGACAAGAAAGAGGCTGAGGAGAAAAAGAAGGAGACTGGACAGACTCTGAACTGTGTTTGCATTATCAATGTGCATTACCAATCCAGTTGCAGGAGGATGACTCCTTCGACAAGATGCTGGAAGATCGGCTGAAAGAGCAGTCCTTCGATTCGTTGCTGGGCCTCTTTACCCGTCGGGCCACACTGCTGGTCACCTTGAAGGACCAGGTGAAGGCCGGTTCCGCCGATGTTGCATTGTCATTTTGTGTCACTGTGAACTTCTCTCCGAGTGTCCTGCCTGCCGCCAGCATGCCCTGGACCGCTTCGGCCTTTCGAAGTTCTACTGCCCCAAGCCGAACAATGAGGTGCACCGCCTGGAGCTCATGTCGGTCACTTGGCCGGCCATGATGTTATTTTAACAGTGTATGCGACATGTTCGGCACCGATGATAAGTTTAAAACTTGACATCACTCAATCAGCCAAGGCTTTGCGCTACGAAATCGTGCACCAAGAAGCCCAGCTGCTGTGGTGGTTGACGAACCATGAGGTTGACTTCCACAAGTGGTCTCGACCGCTTGGAAATTGCCTCCTCGTGGAGCCTGAAAAGGTGAAGCCTGAGGTTGCACTTAGAAAGCTTCCACCGTTGCCACCACCGCCAAGAGGGATGGCGGGCACGTTTAAGGTTACCCCGCGTGGCATGGTTTTTCAAAGACCTTAGCCTGATCTCTGGCCACTGACTGATGACTGATTTAAAAGCATACTACAGTTTAGTCAGACTTGGCAAAACTTCAATCAAACCATGGCTACTTTAAGCTGCGGGCTGTGCTTGTGGCCAGTGGTCGGAGAAGCCAAAAGGCATTGCCTGAGGGTCATTCAGGCTGATCCTGGTCGTACAGCTGCAGCGAGCAGTGACCAAAAAAGAGCTGACTGACTGTCACAACTTTGCCAGCTTTTTTGCAATAACGTGCACAGAGCCATGACTGCTTTTGGGAAGGACTCCTCCTTCTGTTTCGTCTGGGCAGCTGCGGCCTGAGCATACCGGTGCCCCTGCAGTGCCAGGAATCGGAAATCCACGAACATCTGGTTCAGGTTTCGTGATCATCTTTCACTTTGCCTTCGGTTCCTCTGGCTTTGGACTTAAATACCCTGCCTCCCATGACTGCCCACTTGATACACGACAGGTCTCGGATGCCTGACCGTGTGGACGAGCTGCCGTCGTTGCAGAGTCTGTGGGGGACCCGGTCAAGTGGATTCGCCAGCCTGGATTTGGGCATGTGTTTGATGCCATGCGTGCTGCCTTTAACTTTATTCCTGTGTGCTGTGGATCAAGATCACTGTCACATGGCATGGCAAGCCAGGGTTGTGGCAGCTTGCAGGTCTGATTTATGAATGTTGGGTTAAACCCTTAGGGTAGGCCAAAACTTTTGGTAGCCTGCCTGAGCCTCGCCGCCATGGCAGCACTCACGGAGCAGGAGAAGGACCATGCTCTATGGGCAAGCCTGATGCGGAGGCTTGCCATGGAGGATAAGATGAACATCAGTGCTTTGCCTCGTCGCTCGGCTGAAGTGGGATGTCTGAAATGTAAACTGACCATGGCCAATGACTTCCTGCCTTACTTAGGCAGACCACCGCGGCTTGACAACCAGGTCTTTGCTTTGTCCCAGTGGTACGACGAGCATGAGGCTGAGGCCGACCGGGCAGCAATCCGGCTGCATCTTTAGTGCCCTCTGGTCCGAGTCCGATGTGAAGCACCATGCTGAAAGGCAAGGGCGAATGCTAAGGTGCACTCTGTTTTGCATGACCGTGCGCCTGACCTCCTCTGGGTTTGCTGCAAGTGCGGCGTCGACATGGCAGCCAAAGCTGAGTCTCGGCTGCAGCTACAATGACAATTAAATGTGATGTGCCAGCATGCGAAAAGTTCCAGCGGTGCATGTTGCATCCAAGGGCCTGGTCTCATTGCTGCTGCACCCGCACCCGAATGCCCCGGCGTATGCTCATCGAACCACCGTCCTTCTGACACGTGGCTCGTCTTTCAACTTTGGGGGGTATCTTTTCTGGAAGCTGTTCATTGCCTGAACTTCAGGCGAGTGGGTGTGGGACAGCAGCTTCACCAACGTCACCGCCTCCAAGTTGGTGATGAAGCACGTCAGGGAGAAACTTGTTGGCTGTATAGTAATCTTT